TATATATATATATATATATACATTTTTTTTTTTAAAAAAAAGCTTAAAAAGTTTTCTTTTTAATCCAATTAAATTTTCATTATAGCGGCCCGTTACGTACAATACGCGATAACTGAAAAAGTCTATGAACCCAATTCAATATACATGTATACTTTTGACGTATGCAAAGTGAAAATTATTTGATGTAAGCTTTTATATTTGTCAACGATTAACAAATTAATATTTTTTATTTTTAATTTATTTTTTTTTTTTGAGGGGTATCATACACATCACGTGGCTTCATAACAAAAATTTTGTGAAAAAAAAAAAAAAATTTTAATTTTTAATAAATATAACAAGAAATATACATTATGTATATTTTTGTCCGTTCTACAAGCTAACAAGTTAACTTAAAGCGTCAAAGTTTGGGTTTTGAATATCAATTTTGTCTTATTTAAGAAATTTCTTTTTTTTTCTGTAACCTGGGTTTGAAACACCTCGTACTAGTGTGTACAAATAGAAATCGTCATTTTTTTTTAATAAAATCAAAATATTGCCAACTTGTGCTACACTAATTACTATTATTATCCAACGTTTATCCAACGTTAACGTCTTTTGTCATTTTGAGGCACGCGAGATAACTATCATCATTGTAATTAATAATACTTGAAAATTATTGCAAATTAATTTAAAATTCATATCAGATAACTTGTGGATTCATCAATTCAAGTTTCATTATATATTTTTTTTTTTAAAAAAAATCATTTCGCTATTGTTTCATATGAACTTCTTTTTTGTCATTTCGTATAAAAATTTTTCATTAACACTTCTTTCTGTAGTTCACTTCTTTTATTTAATTTTCATTATATTTTATTTAATTATACTTCTTTTTATTATTTTATATTTCTTCTTCTTGAATTCTTGTAAGAAAATTTCATTCTTTTACGATAGAATTTTATTCTTTTACGATAGAATTGTGTTCTTTTACGATAGAATTTTGTTCTTTACGAGAGATTTTTATTCTTTACGAGAGATTTTTATTATTTTTTATTTACGTTTCATCTAGTAAGTTATTACATTCTCCTTGTACGGAATTGTTTTACATTGCACTTTGCAAGGTAATTTTACACCCTTGAAAAAGAATTTTACAAATTTCTGCTTTATAGGTTTAATTGATACATTTTATCGAAAAATTTAAAAAAATTGTAAACGTAAAATCACGTGATGCAAATAAATTTGGTGATTTTCGCCCAACCAAATGAAAATTCACATCCACCGATGAGCCAAGTATAAAATTAAAATAATAATATACAATTGCACCTGCTAATAAAAAATAAAAACATTTTAGTAATTGCTCAATCATAAATTTCTGCTCATTAGATATTTTGTCAAAATAAATTTTAAAAATTTAAAAACCTGTAAACGTAAATCACGCGATGTAAGACAAATCTTATGAAGTAGTGATTTTCGTCCACCCAATGAAAATTCACATCCGCTGTTGAGCCAAGTATAAATTTATAAATTTCAAATAATAATAAACAATTGCACCTGCTAATATGCTAATAAAACATTTTAGTAATGTCATAAAATATACACACAATAAAACATAACAATAAATCGTGAAAACTCTATTTAATGGATAGTGTTCAATTACAAACTGATTTTATTTATGTAAAAAAAAAAAAAAATTTTACATGCTACTCTATAATCAGTGTTGAACATAAAGTAATTGCATAAGGTAAACCTTCGATATAAAGAACTCGCTTTATAACGAAATTTTTCCAACACGTGACATTTAACCAATCATTTTCGCCAAATATCCCTAATATTCTTTAAATTCTTCGCTATAATCTTATAGCGAATTTGAGATGAAAACCGGAGGATTCGTTATATCGATAGTTGACTATATAAATATTAAATAATTAAAATAATTAGAATAATTTCTTTAAAATTGATAATAATATTTTTGGATGAAAAAAAAAAATCATTTAAATTATTTAACGAAAAAAACCGGCATATTCACTTCGTAAATTAATTATATTTCACAATCTAAACATTCCGTATTATCATTGGTATATTCTGCAAGATCTTTTGTAAAAGAATTAAGTAATCGAGATGTATAAACAGCTTGAGTATGAATAATTAATTGACTATTTTTAATTGTTGTTCGAAACATTTCTGCTTCTTTGAATTGTTTTTCAATTTCAATCCCTTCTCGTCTTGTATTAGTTGAACAATATGAATTATAAAATAACCTAATCAATTCCTCTATTTCAATAGCACTTGGTCTTTTGTCTGGATTTGAATCCCAACATCTTTTCATTAAATCAATATAACATTTAGGTGCTTCCGCCTCATTTATTTCGGGTCTAATTCCTTTACATATATCTAATGCTAAAACCTCATCATGCGCATAATCTGCAAAAGGTTGTCTTTTAGTTGCTACAAAATACATAACCATACCAAAACTATATATGTCTGCTGCTTGAGTATAAGGTTTTCTTCTTAATACTTCAGGTGATACATAAGGCATAACTCCATAAAGATTTGTTTTATCTACATTACCAACTTTTCCGCATAATCCCATATCTGAAATATAATTTGAAGAAATCCAATGAATATCTTTAAATAATATATTTCCTATATGAAAATCACAATGAACCATCTTTTTTTGATGAATTTCTTTAAGACCACTAATAATGTTACATAATACTTTTAATTTATTTGTCCAATTAAAATATTTTTGATTATTATTTATCCAATCATTAAAATTTCCACCTTCTGCATATTGAAGTACCATAATATAATCTTTTGTATCTGGATTTTGCGATATTCCATATATTTCAAGTACTTTACCAGAATTATCAAAATTATTAATTGAATATGCTTTAACCTAAAGAGAAAATTAAAAGTTAAAAAAGAGTTTTTTTTAAAAGTAGAGTATAACTAAATATCATCAGCGGCGGCGGTTACCAGTGGTATAATGCCGGCCAGTATTAGATTTTTAATTCTGGCCGAAATGCTGGTATGGTGACTATCACCAGCCATTGGTAAACTTTAGTAATACCCTTAAAAGTATTAGTCGCATAACGTTACCTCATTTATTAAATTCATCAGTGATGCTTTGTGAATTATCTAAACATTTTAAAGCAATTGTCTTGCCCGATATTCTTGTATATTCCTTTCTATTTGTATCATATTTTAATGGACCATCTTTCCATATTGCTGAATATACTATAGCAAAACCACCTTTACCTATTTCTTTAATACCATAAAACTGATTATAAGGTATCCATTCAAATATTATGTTACTTGGACTATTTATTTTTAATTGCATTTCTTGAATTAAACCATCAATTTTTTCATTCCCACTGCTCCAGTTTACAAAATTTTTTCTTAAATCATTTGTTTGACATTGTTCACACAAACCATTATTTTTATCACATTTAGCACAATATTTTTCAAAATATTGATTTTCAAGTACCACGATATAATTTTTTGTTTTCGGATCTTTGGATATTCCATACATTTTAATATTATTCTCTTTAGTGACATTTCTTTTATATTTATTATACACTTCAGCGACATCCCTTTTGATTGTATAATTTTCAATCTACAGTATTAAAATATCACAGTATTAGAATATTATCATTATGTTAGAAAAAATTTATTTAATTTGAATTCATAGAAATTTTATTCATTACCTTATTCAAAAATTCAATAATTGTATATTTTGATTTATCAAAACATTTTAAATTAATCATTTCAGAATCTCTTGTATACACCTTTTTATGCTGATTATAGGATAATGGTCCATCCTTCCATTTCGCTGAATATATTGTAGTAAAGTCACCTTTTCCTATTTCTTTAATAGAGTTAAATCGATTGTATGGTATCCACTCAAATACTATATCACTGTGATGATTAATTTTTAATTGCATTTCTTGAATGAAGATATCAATTTCTTTTTTACCACTATTCCAATATATAAAATCTTCCTTGATATAATTTATTAGACATGGTTTACACCAATTATAATTTGTATTCGTATACATTTCAGCACATTTTATACAATATTCTTTATAATACCTTTCAAAATAACCTTCATGAATTACCATTATATATTCTTTTGTATTTGGATTTTGAGATATTCCATAAATTTTAATATTATTACTAATTTTTTTTATCGTAAAATTTCTTAAAATCTATTAAAGAAAAGAAAAAAAGGAATTAACTCCTTTGTTTGATAATATATAATAATTTTAATAATTTCTCTGTACAGTAGTACAGTACAGTACCTCATTTAAAAATTCATCAATAGCATCTTCATCTTGTAAATTTATATTAAAACATTTTAAAGCAACCACCGCATCTATATATCTTAAATAACCCCAAAAAATATTTCTATAATATAATGGACCATCTTTAAATGTTGCGAAATAAGTTTTAGTAATTGATGAATCATTTTTATTATTATTAGTACTATTAATACCTATTTCTTTAATATTATCAAATTTATCATAAGGTATCCATTCAAATATTATATCCCTATAATCATTAATTTTTTAAAATTATTTTTTAAATGATTTATTTGACATGGTTTACACCATCTATACCTTTTATTAGGTGTATATATATTACCACATTCTAAACATTTGTTTGTTAAAAATCTAAATAATATTTTAATTATTTTAATTAAACACATTTTTTTGTTAATTTTGATTTTTGAGAAATTCATTATAATAAATTTAATCTTATTTATAAATATTTTGAATTCATTAAAGATACTCAAAATGGGTATAAATCAAAAATAAAATTTAATTAATTAATGTTTTACGAATTACGAATGTATGAATTGTACGATAAACAAAATAAAATCATATGACCCTTATTTTGATTAAGAAAACAAATTTTTTGAGGCACAGCCAAATTGCAATTATGAATGATGTAATAATGACTATTTCAGTACATGAATAATATTTTTTTTCACATAAGTAATTTGATTTATTTATAACAAAATTATGCAAAAAATTATTAAAAATTAGTAAATCATTTAACAATTCTTCAAATTTCTGTAAAAAAAGATGAAATAAATTTTTAATAAATAATCTTTTATATTAATCTTCTTTATTTTGTTTACTTCTTCGGTACTATAGTAATTTTTGTATACCAAACTTATTTATTCGTTGATATGAAATATTCAGCAAAATACAAATTAATAACAATGAATCAAACATATAATTTTGGTAAAAATAATATTAATAAATAAAAGTCAAACTAATACAAGACAATATAATATACATTTTATTTTATCCAAATTAATAAAGCAAAATAACTTAATTAAAAAAAAAGAAGTGAAAAGAATTTGCTAAAAAGAGGAAAATATAATAATTAATTTTGCAATTTTTTTTAATTTTATTGCATTTGAAAATCTTATACTTTTTCATTAGACAATTAATGATTAAGTATTACGGCCCTGCCACAAGGGACTTCCTAAGAAGCGCACTATGCTCCTCCCATGAAATTACGCATAGCACCATGCCGTACCACAACCAACCGGTCCTACCGCAGGACTGCAGCAAAAACTGGTACCTACGAGCTTACTAAAAGCAAGCGCCTATGCTCCAACCCTTTCGCATAGTACTATACCGCTCCAAAAAAATTCCCAGCCAGCCCTACTGTGAGACTGCAGCAAAGTTGGTACTCACAGGCTTACAAGGTAAGCACGCTATGCTCCCACCCATGCATAGCATCATGCTGCTCCAACATAAGTACCCAATAAACTTACCTTTGGCCTACTCACCCATGCATAGAACTTATACCACTTCTAAGAAAGACTGAAAAAAGAGAAAAAATCTAGAAAAAAAGCGGAGGCCTAAAAAAAGAGAAAACTTTAAAAAAGATAAATAATATGATTTGTACATATATTTTTCCAAGAATAAATTATGAATTGATCATTATAAATATCACATGATTTCATTATACCTAAAAAAAAGACACCCTAAAAAAAAAAAAANCCTAAAAAAAGAGAAGACCGAAAAAAGCCAAGAGAAGTTTGAGACTGAAAAAAAGAGAAGACCAAAAAAAAGACCTAGAAAAGAAGCAAAGTTCTAAAAAAGAGAAGACCGAAGAAAGAGACCTAGAAAAAAAGAGAAGTTTGGAAAGAGAGAAGATAAAGTTAACAAAATAATGTCTCACCCGCACATAAACTTTACCGCTCCTAAGATACCGCTCCTAAGAAAAATATGGGTTCTGAAAAGCTTGAAAGAAAAAAAAATACGAAATCTGAAAAAAAATATCTAAAAAAAGCAGAGCCATAAACAAAAAGAGAAACCAAAAAAAAAACCTAGAAAAAAGAGAAAATAGTAGACTAAAAAAGAGAAGACTAAACTTGGAAGAAAGAAAAAAGTAATACCGAAAAAACGAAAAAAAGAGAAGACCTAAAAAAAGATAAACTGGAGTGGAGTCCTATAAAAGACCTAGAAAAAAAGAAATGATATATATATTTATTTTTTGTTATACAAACTTTTATATAAATAAATCGTAATGACTCATGACTTATGCGAAAACGCGAAAAACGCGAAAACAATCAGTTGCAAGTCTATTAAATAAATCAATGTTATAAGCTCATGTAAACACATGATTAATAAAGAAAATGAGTCGTCATATGTCAAAATCGTGATCATCAAGAAAATCGATGGAATACACAAACAGAATATACGCGACGGTTTGGAAGTCTAACGAAATAAATAATTTCATATTTATATTATATCTTAATGAATAAATCAGCTCAGTCTGGTAATAATGATAATGTATTTTTCATAGATCATTACATAATAAACTCGCCTTAAACCATTTCAAAAATACATACGAATAGTATACTTCGTTAGTTATACGAAGTTTTTTGATTTGAAGAGATTAAGTTGGGCTCTTTTAGAGTGTTTTTCTTAATTTCATATGTATTTCTAAATTTACGATGTAATATGTTTTTTTCTAATACAATTACTAATAAAGAAATACGTAAATCAAAAAAAAAAAAAAAAAAAAAAAAATACATACGAATAATATAAATGTTCGTTGTTAATAATATAATACATTATTGTTCATAAATACACTATTTACAATTTTTTTGTTAATTAAATAAATACACCATAAATAAATTCACTTTTTTTTCGTTAATTAAATTAAAAAATTAATCTGCTGAAAATAATATTTTTTTTCTGATACCCAACAAGCTATTCGGGGAGTGGACTTTTGACCTTGAAATGTATATTTCAATGAAGAAATATTGAGAACAGTGCTTCTAAGGTTAGTCCAAAATCTATTTTTCACTGTGCATCTTGCATGTTTTGCCAGAGAGGGATCTAACGAGGGAAGATTGGTTTTTCTAATATTTTTTTATTAGGAGTATTGGAAGAAACAGGTGGTAATTGATTAAGCCCGTTGTCCGTAAGATTGAGATTATTATCCATTTGTAAATTATTTCAGTGGAAAAATTAAAGAGAGTAAGTGTTTACTGGGTGGGTGTATTTATGTTAAATATGTTTATATTGGGTATTTTAAATTTTTTATTATCGTTTAGAGTACGTTATGATTCAGCAGATTCGATTGTATTATTGATATTTTGCCATCATATCACTTAAATTAATATTTATAATTTCCGTTTGTTTGACTTTATTTTTATTAGGCTATTTATATATTTACTATCAACATATTATGATTCTATCTTTATGACTAAAATAGTAACTAAGTATTTCGTAAAATTCAAATGTTAGTACTCACAAAAAGTATTGGTGAAAATTTATAATAGGAATTGCATTTCCGGTTAACATTTTAATAAAGACGCCCAACTTGAAAATTTCGGCACCATCTAAATGTTTAATCAAAAGTAATATTTTTTCAGTAACTTCCTTGAATTATTTTGAAAATTCAATATAACGTTAACTGAATTCTTGCGTTTCTATATATTTATCATGTGATATATAAGAATTATTTTTTATTATTTAGATCAGTTTAGATGTTTTGATAATTATATAAGAATTAGAATAAAATTTCGTCTTATTGATTTTCTTCTTCAAGAAAAGTCATGGTCAAAATGATTCCATTTAGAAGTTTTGGTGTTTGAAACAATATATTATTTTGTACTCCATGAAGAGGGTAGTCCTATTAATTAAAAGAATTCTTTAAAAATTTTATTCTTTAAATTATTTAATACTAAAAAAATATTTACCATGGTTTCATCATTAACCATGATAGTTAAGAAACTGGTAGAATATCGTCTATATTGACAAAAAAAATAAAAGTAACATTATTGAGGCCGTCAAATCAAAAAGCAATTTTAATAAATAATCTTACATATTCTTAATATAATGAGCACTTCGAGGAGCATTACTATTATACCGAATTGTAATTTCAGATACATCTTTAAAACTGAAATCATCTGCAACCATAAATTTTATATCCATATCATCAATGGCTTTGTCAGCTTCATCTATAAAAAAAAAAAAAAAAGATATATGGAATATGGTTTATTCATACTATTTAAAATTGTAAAATACTTTTAAACTTACCAATATAAAATCTAAGCATTCTAGTGTTATCAACTTTAGCGAAATAACCAAAACATTTATGAATCGCATGAAAGAAATCTCTTACAATCGCTGATTTATCATAACTTTTAACAAATCTACCCAATAAAACTTCACTATCAAATACTCGTGCCAAAAAATAAGACATAAATACCAAAACTAATTTTGTAAAATATGAATTACTTGAATAAGCTATAGAAAAACATAAACCGATTGAAACTACTAGATAAAAATAAAAAGCTAAAAGTATACGACCAAATAACATCAATAAAAAAACTATTAAAATAAATATTGTTGAAACGAATATATACCATCCATAAGTAATTTTTTCAATTATAACATCTTTTCTAATCCAATAAATTGCATAAGTAAATGACAATGATGGCATTATCGAACAAATCAATATAAGTAATAATCCTGAGATAATATATTGTTTTGGTGTAAATATTAGCCGTGAGGGCTTTTTTGCAGGTTTATCAATACTTTTAATTACCGTTACGTTATTTTTAATTCCATATGCAAGTAAACAAACAAAACATGTTGATAAAATTATACACGAAATCATGCATACAAAATCATATTTATAAGTACTCTTATAAACAAAATAATTATAAATAGGTGGGAAAATAAATAAATATATCCATAGAAGACAAAATTCAAATATACCAATTAAATATTTATATCTACTTTTGTATGCTGAAATGATAAGTAATGGTAGTAATACATTGATTAAATTATCGTAGGCATCGGAAGTAGGATTATATTCTTGAGCGTAGACATTGGGTATAATTAAGCTTATAAATATAATAAATATAATAATCATATTATTCAAACGGCGATTCTTTAAAGAAAAATTTAGAATTTGTGTTAATTTGGATATCATTTGGATCAATTATTTAAACACGGTCAAACATTTATTATTTACATTGTACTTAGAAATACTATTACATATAAAGAAATCTCAAATGAATAATGTTCGGGTAAACAACTAAATATTTAGATTACACGACATCCAAATGGTTAACTTTGTGCAACATACAGAGAATCATCATGAACATTTGAAGATGACAGGAAAAAGAATTTCATGACATTTCTACTTCAACTAAAGGAATAACAAATACTGTATATAGCTTGCTCATATATTTAAGCGGAACCACTTTTATTAAAGTACCTCTATTAAATGATTTTTTTTAGGTAACATACCAATCATAGTATTATTCCTATAAGAAATCAATCAAAACCTTTAATTAGTTTACCTATTTTACCTATGTAAACTTCATTGTCAATCATTCATAACTATTTAAATAATCTATAGAAATCATAATTTATAACCCGTCAAATTTATTTAATTATCATTATAATTTTTAATGTTTCTGCCGCAGCACTTATATTCCAACACAAAACGGGATTTAAATTATATAATGAATGGGCTATTTAGATTTTGTAAGCATTGACATGCTGCATTAATCTATAAAGAAGGATATATTATTTTTTAAACAGGAAGTTAAAAAAGAGTTAGTATAATTCTTTAAAAATAAATAAAGAGTATTACACGCAGAATCAAAAAACCTTTTAATATACAATGGCGATGTTGAGGCAGCTTATTTAGAAATGGTTAATTTACATAATATTTACAGTAATTATAATTTTTAATTTTTTTTTTAATCTATTAAGTTACAGTATCTAATTAAAATAAAATAAAATTTAATTTCGTTAAATCCTGTCAAAATGAAAATAATAAAGTTTATTGCAGCCCGTGGTACTCATTATTCATAAAAGTAATGGTGGAACTCCACCGAAATTAATTATTTTCATTTTTGTTAATCATAAGTCACAAGAATCTTTTATTTTGGCGAATTATTACTGTATGGCCAACTAAAAGAGGAACCCAAGTACTTGCAGAGTCTTTGGATGATCATGTACGTATGTAAGAGCAAGATATTATATATTGGAGAAGTTGTTGAATAACTAGAAATATCAAGTTCATTGTATATATCTAAAGCCTTCAATTATCAAATATTAGCCAATCTTTATATGATCATTGATAACATTCAAAGCGAGGTTTTTTTGACTTAAGTTTTGAGTACCATTTTCGGACATATCTATATATAAATAATGATATAAAATTAGCAAAAGCATTAAGTAAAATAAAAAATTCCCGGTAAATAATAGAATTCTAAACTTACATATAGTAATTCTAAACGTTTTTAGAACCTCATTTGATAATTACTCAAAATATAATATTTAAGATTAATAAAAGCACTACCTAGTAAACCTTCAGGTTTTAAAAATTGAGAAAAAAATTTTGTCTAAATTTATTAAATGTAATTTAAAATTGCCTAAACTAATTTTTTTAGAAAGGTGATTCTTATATGCCAAAGTATTAAAGATAAAGTGGCGTACGTTTATAAAAAGAGAAACATTTGGAACAAGCGATCCCGAATTCATTGAAGGAAGAAGGAGTTGAAGGAGTCTGGATAATTCCGCAGAAAAAGAGAATTTTAAAAATTTAATACTGGAGGAAAAAGCATCACAGTACCAGGAAAGGGTTGTTCCTTTGGAACCAATGCAAAAAGCTCAGACAAGCTCACCATTGAATCTAATGACGAAAATGGAGAATTCACCAACGGAAGAAGAACAAGATGACTCTTGTTCGAAGAAATATCAATGACTACGTAGACACGGAGAAATAGTTAACGAGTTACGTGAGGACAAGAAAGCTGCCGTGATCGGGAAAGATAAATTTTTATATAAAAATAGAAAGTAGATAGTAATTTTTTTAGTTTAGGTTTTTTCATTGAATGGGTTGGTTATAGGCATTTTATACATACAAAAAAACTAATCTTATTTGCGCTTGTAAATTAATAAAGAAAGCTAAAAAAAAAAAAATCTTTTTAGGGGTAATATACTATTTAAAGGTGAAAAATAAATAAAAAAATAAAAAAATTACCTATTTCGTCATAATTGACTATAAGTTACATAGTGTAGTAGTGTATATAGTGTAGACGCACGCGCCTCAAAAAATTTTCGCGTCAAAAATCAAAGATTCACATTTCCGTGTAACCGATATCATGTGATCGTAAATAATAATCAATCAATTTCATCATATCAAATTAATCAAAAGAGATACTTTATGACTACTTTATGTTGCTTAGTAATATATCATACGTATCACGTAATACAAATCAATAAAGTTCGTGTATGATATAAAAAAAGAAGAAATTTTTTTCTCCATGTTTACCGAGAACGCGAATTTCGAGGACTGGGAAACAGCTTTGGAACCCAAAAACTTCAACCTTATCTCTATTCTGAAATTTCGTCGTAAAAAAGAAGACTTCTCATTTAACAAGTCGGTCGAACATACTAATATCTCAAAATTCATTTCAAACGTTGCAACTATGGATGAAAAGTGGAGGAATGTCGCTTCTGATTTTAGTGTGTCTAAGGTAATATATTTTAAATTTAAGAGAAAGGAAAAGTAGCGAGGGGATAGAGAAGGAGTTGGGCGCTGTCAAAACAACCACCTAAGCGACTTGGCAACTCGTCAGGTTAGTTATGGGGGCTATCTCCGGTGGGCTCCATCTTAAGTTTGTGTGAAGGCCAAAGGCAACACGTCTTAGTGCCAAGAGCGACTCGTTCATTCACAACCCCTGATGACTTGCTTTTCCTTTTTCAATATTTTTTTTTTCTTATAATATTCTCTTCCTGTATTTGTCATATTTAACACGTCTTAGTGCCAAGAGCGACTCGTTCATTGATGACTTGCTTTTCCTTTTTAATATTTTTTTTTCTTATAATATTCTCTTCCTGTATTTTGTCATATTTGATGCTATTAAATCACAAAAAAAAATCTTTATTTCCTTCCTATTATATGGCAGCAATCCCAATGGGAGGATGTAAAGTTATTCTGGAATAAGGTCGATCTTGAAAAAATCGAAACTAGCTCACAAATGTTGGAAAAGAGAGTTTACCAAGCCGAGGTATTTATTGGCCCAATGAGCTGTCGTTTATACCAGAATTTCTGTTATAAAAATTGGTGTTTCATTTGGGGAGATGCTTATTGATATTTTCTTCTAATTAGACGGAACAACAAGTTCAGGCAACTGAAAATGCTTCACGTCAGATGGACCTAATTCAGAATATATTTATCAACAAGAGCGAAAAGCGTGGTCATGACTTGCAGGTTGATGAAGCATCAAAAAGGCCGAGATCGAGTGACTCTTCAAAGCTTACGGAATCAAATGATCAAGAACAGTCATTCGAACTCTTATCATCATCACTTTATTCGAGTCAAGAAACAATTGCAGATGTAGTCGATAATCCGTTTTTCGTATCAAACAAGGCAACTGCTGTTCAGGACAAGGAGGGCGAGGTATGGTAGCAATGTTTTTAGTTATCAAAGTTCGTACTATTTGTAGTGGTCAAAATTGGATATATCCATTTACTTGTTCTAATGCTTTTCCTGGAAACAGCTTACCAAATATATCCGCGATCAAGAAAGTGAGAAAATCTCCTCCGAGCTTCCCTCCGTTGAAGAAAGTGCTAGAGATCCCATATTGGAATTTCCTGACGATCCGCCTGAGGTATTAGGATTATAATTCAAAAAAAAATTTTCTTTTTTTTCCCTCAAAGTTGAGGCCTTGTTCATTTTACTATAATATTCTTTGAATAACTACTCAGCTTAATGATGAAGATGTTATTGTTTATAACAAAAAAACAATGCGGGATGCATATTCAAGAACGAGACAGGATATCTACGATCGTACTTCGCAAAAAGATGTAAGTTCTCCGTTCTGATTTTCACTGCATTTGTTTTCGGGAGATACTAATCATTGCCCACTTTAGTGGTGGATAGAACAGTGTAACATTTCAAATAATTTCCGTGAATATCAAGTCGCCAACATTGATATATTAGAAGATGGAGGAACCTTCTGTTTCTCAACAAATTATGAAGAGATATTGTAAATATTGTTTGATCATATATTGGTAATTAAAATCAGGATCTAATGAACTTCTATATTACAGATCTCTACATCATATAATGTTAATTGATCTAACCAATATGAAGAAACCATTATATGTACTTACGGACGAACGAAATTGGCGTACTGCAGTTCGTCAACCAATTAAACCAAAAATTTCAAGTTTCTTCAGAGATGTTATGGATGACTATGAAATGGTAATTGTACTGCGTCATCTTGTATGTTGCAGATATATAAAATTTACTAACATCTTTTACAATAAAAATAGGTAATTAATGACATTGATTTACTTCGGTTAAAATATTACGAAATGTGGGGGAGATATTGTGATCAAGTAATATATTCAGATAGCGAAAGGCGTCTATTCGAAACAACGCAAGCTGTTACTCGTGCATTGTAATTATTCTTTATTTTTCAACCTTATTACCATTTCCTCTACTGACTTCTATCTGACCTATTTTAAAGTTACGAGAGAATGCATATGTCCAACTCGGAGAAAGTTAATAACGAGGATACAGTTATGCACGAATATATTCATGACACTTTTAAAGAAACGTTCCGAGATTCAAATTACGATACCATTTGGTAGGTATATATTTATTTGATTTGAAATTTTTGTTGATATTCACCTTGTTCTTTCTTTAATAAGGGCAAATGATGAAAGTTTATCTTCGAAGTACCACCGCGCAACCTACGGACGCAATAAAGGCAAAAAACCCGATATGGTTTTATATCGAATCATAGAAAATGGTGAACGTGAAGAGTCTTGCTTCATCGAAGCCAAGCACTTTTCTATCACAAGAAACAGCAACATAGGCGGTTACAATATGTACAAAGTAGCAATATTTTGTCAAGGAGGTTTAAATAAAATGATGTCTTCATATGGAGGAGATACGGGAGCGTCTTTTGGAGGTCACATTTGCGGTAAGTTTACTTTTCTCACTTTTGATGACTTCAATTTTTTTAACCATTTTTATATAAAAATAGAAGGACATATTTACTTCTGCATGATGGACCTTAAGTATGACGGAATATACCGATTTTTTCAACTTTCTGAAGTAAAGCTTGCGCGGAAGCTTTCAGAGTTCAATCTTGTACGAAGATTGATAATGGAAGCTTTTTTCTTTAAGGTTAACCTTTCTTGTTGTTGTCAAACGGTACCAAAGATTTCACGCACTTACCTGGTACTTTCTTTTGTTTACCACATTCAGTGTCGCATTGATAACTTTTATTCCAATCGAAATGGATCCTCTAATCAATATAGTCACAATAACTTATCTCGTCGTCCGACCATATCGCCTAAAGCGCCAAGAAATTTGGTTCCGTCTGTTAGCTTGATTGATAAAACCAAACGTAAAACAAGAAATATTAAAGAAGTATAATTTATTGTCATATGTTAAGAAACACAATTGTTATAATTTAAATAGCTAAACTTTATAGTCAAATGTAAAAAGGTAATTGTAATTATAGATTATGTAGATTATTATTTACAGGTTAACTTTATTTTAATATTCGCAATGACATAATTTGCATGCTACAAAGAAAACTTTACTGCTATTCTAATAAATTTTTTGTACAATAAAAACTTATAGTACCGTTACACATAATTTTAATTAAAACTAAACATTATATACTTGTTTTGTGTAAAAATGGATATAGCACTAAGTGACTTTTTGGGTTTTACTACAGGATTGCATCTACTCTAATTAGGGATGGCACGTGATTTAAAACAAGATTTTTTAAAACAATTTAAATCAGTTTTTTATTGTTTTAAAACGTTTTTTTTTTGGTTTAAAACATTGATCGGATTATTGCGTAATTATTTTTTAATGACATTTTTTGTATTTTTAAGAAACCAGGTGTTTTTCGTGTGCTTACGGACGTCTTCTGATGATGATCTTCCACGAGAATAATTTTAAAAAAAGTATGTAGTTATTGATTTAATTGATCGATTAGAAGATTTAAAATTAATATATTATATAATTTTTATTTTTTTAAGAGTTAGCGCACGTTTTTTTTAACGAATAGTAGAGGTCTAGAGGATCACTAGCATCACTAAAATTCATAAAATTCCCAACAAGGTCGGACTGGCTATACTCTAAATATATATTATATAATAAAACGCTTAAATTTTTATTGCAAATATGTATTATGTAGTAAAGGTTACTTAATGTTTTAAAACACGTTTAAAACATGTTTTAAAACGCCAAAATTGTTTTAAAACATGTTTTTTGCCATCCCAACTCTAATCCCTGCACCTTTCAGTCCTTTCACGCTATTGGTGGTAGCGTCCGTGGTAAAATTCTTTTAATTTCTATGATCGGCGGAATCGAACGATACTGATGTGATACTGTCAAAAGATCACAGACTACTAAATTAATCTTATATATCAATATATGATTATCAAAGACCGGTTACTTTTTATGTATAGTTCACCTACTACTAGAGATAACTCCCGCTCCCCTTTAACGTTTTCTCTCCTATCTTGATTCGGTCGGGTTTCTAGATAGATAGTTATCATTATATTTCTAGTTAGGGCTCGATTTATTATTGAGTGAAGTTTTATATTGTGTTTTCTTATATTTTTTTTTAAAATAGTTTTTTAAATTATCAATGTAGTTCTCCTGACTATCCATAAAATAAAATAAATAAATAAATCAATATATGATTATCAAATATAAATTAATAAACAAAAAAAACTTATAAATGAATTAATATTTATGAAATGTATTCTTTAAAGGGAAATCTATAGAGGATTTTTTTTTAATATTGTTAATAATAAGAATTTTAAATAATAACATTATAGAGAATTTAAAAAAAAATTCAGGAACATAAATTTTGAATGTTTATATCAGAATTTAAAATTCAGATACCTTTATTTCTTATAAACTTTTTGAAACTTTAAACTACCCTCTGTATAAATAATGCACATCTAAAATCTGCGACAGGTTAGTGTCGATCACGGTGACAAATAACGGTGACAAATAAATTTTTGGCACTAAAAAATTTAAAAATTCAGATACTTAGTGTTTTTAAACTTGTGGCTGCACGTGATCAGTGACGCGTAAACATCACTCCTTCCTATTATAGCAAATAATTTTGAGTGATGTAATGTATTGCGTCTACGCCTGACCTATTGGCTATTCCACGGGATTTTTCGGAAGGCCCTGGAAGGGGTCGATTTGCGTGAAATAATCGTTTCTTTTTTTATAACTGGCAGTTTTTAAGAAACATTTTTTTTTTGTATCTTAATTTTTTTTGTTTATCGTTTCCAATAAATAGTACCTTTGTTTTTATTTTTTAAACGGAAAAAAATTTAGTAGCATACGGAATCTTTATTTATTGTTTAATAAGAATTTTTTTGTTTAGTTAATTTGTTTTTAACGATTGAATTTTATGTGTTAATTTTTTTTACAATAAATTCTTATAAGTTTTGAGAGATTTTTTTTTTAACAAACTATATAACAAAAAATTTGTCTGAAGTTTAGAATAGTCTCCATTTGGGATGTGTGGCGTGATAACGATATAATATTTATACTGTATGTTCTTGAGAAAGTAAAATTTTATCGTTATGTTGAATTTTTAATATATATCGGTATATTAAATATCAATATTATGGGCTGCAGTAGACACAAAAAGTATGTATATACAAAAGTTATTAGTTGAATATACAAAAATGTATGTATAAAAGTGATCATTTGAATATACAATAGTTGTTATCTGAATATACAAGAATTATCATTTGAAATTTTGAATATATAAAAATCAATATTGGTCAAATCTAAAATTTTTATTACTTAATTTAGAAATTAAAAAAAATTTACTGCTTAACTTAAAAATCTACTTTTTGTGCTTATAGCGCATGTGCTACGTTCTGATGGCCAATGGCCAATCTGTAAAATTTAAAATTTGTCGTCTTCTTGGAACCATGTGATTGGCCACAGCAGATTGCTAAAGTCTAATAGGCTTACTTTTATCGTTATTTTTTAATTTTTTTTTTTTCAGTTCTTAATAAATCAGGAAATTTATCAAATACCCTTTTTTTGATTTTTATAAACCGGGAAATTTAGATACTTTTTTTTGGTTCTTATAAACTTATTTATTTTAAAATATTTTTTTTTTTTTTAAATATTTTATTTTCAATGTTTTCTTTTAAAAAAAAGTAAATATTAAATATTAGTTTATTATTCATTTTTTATTGTATTTATTTATTTATTCTTTTCACTCTTTTTATATATCTTTTATATTTAGTCAAATTACCCATTCTTGTTTTTTAATTCACTCAAAATCTATTGACTGAATTTTTTTTAAAGAGAAAAAATATGGTTAAAAGATGAAATAATTGACAAAACTATGATAAAAAAGGTAAACAAACTAAACATATAGTCATTTTCACACAAAAATACAGGCTACCGTTAAGAAATATCTTTTTATTAAAATTATTTAATAAGAAGAAATGGAAATAAAATTTGATTTCACGAAAAATGATAGACAAAACACAGGCAGTGATCAAAGAAATAAATACGGAAAATTTTGAAAAGGATATAACAAAGAAAGAATTAGAGAATCAAAAATGACACTGGAAAGATACATTTGCAAGCACATATAACGATAAAGTTCAAAAAAGTAACGAATTGAAATAACAGTTTAAAAATATATAAATATATTGCCACACAGAAATAATCACATGATATATTAAGATACAGTATAAGTCATATGATATTACTGTTTTTATAAATGTGCAAGTTACTTATTCATATAATACGTAATTTATATATATGTTGATTAAAACTAACATCGGGTCACTGCTAGTTATAACTTATAGTAGCTCCTAATCAAATCCACACGTACATAACTCTCATTGTTTTCATCCCAAATTTTGCGAGAACGCTCCAAATAGATGTCTTTTTCATATGACACCTTAAAATAATAATAATAATAATTCAAGCTTTTTTAGCTTTTTTAGATACTTCTCAATAAGAAAAAAGTTTTTCTTTAGTATTTTCAAAAAAGCGAGATGACATGTATTTCTTTAATCTTTTAATATTGCACGAAGACTAATAATATATGATTAATCGAATTTTTGAGTTTTCGGAAATTTTAATGGTTTCAATTTCAAGGCATGTCATGACTGTCATGTGTGGATAAATGTATTTTATAATATTAGAAAATAAAATTAAAAAGTCCGAATTAATTTTTTTTTATTTTTATTTTTATTTTTATGATATAGACTCGACTGGGGTCGAACGCTAAATAGGAATAAACATGGTCTAAAAGATCAATAAATTCTAAGCTAGTGTTTTACCCAACCTCTCAGGAGTAGCCTGAAGGGGTCGTCTTGCCTATTATTCAATAGAACAATCAAGCATAACCTGGAGTCTAAAACGGACTATCAAATGAAAATGAAGAACTAAAAAAATTGAATTTAAAATTACATGAAGAAGAAAAATTATCTATATCTAACTCAAAATTACTAGGGTGCCGGACAGAAGACAACCATCCACCAGAATGTAAAAAATTACATGTGCACAAAATCAACCACATCGGTAATTGGTCCGAATTAATCTAATATACTCGGTATTTAATTACACCAATTCCACGTGGTCACGTGGTTGATACATGTTGATCATTTTCTCGTTTTCCATGACAAAAGCATGTAATTTACTGTGCCACTTTATAAAAAAAAGTGTCAATGACAATAAAAAGTCATGATGTAATAGGTGTTGTTATTTGGTCAATGTGACTTAAACATCTAAAATGAAAAACCTTTGTTCACCGAAAATAATAAAGATCTGCAAAAAATAAAATAATAAATAATATTAGTTATGGAGTATGCCGATGTTGTATAGTATAGTGTAAAGAAACTATACTGTATAGATAAAAAGCTATACTGTATAGATTTTTGTCAGCTATACTATACAATATCGGAGATACTCAATATCGTTTAACCGATAATAAAACCAATTTGAACATACAATAAATATAAAGTATGTTTCACAAAAAGACTTCATGAGTTTTTCAAAGTTGTTTTTATTTAAAAAAAAAAGGTTTTTCCGATATCGTTTTACACAATCTATATTTAAAAGGGTTTTGTAATTGTTACCAAATCAACAACATAGGAATACATTATAAACAGAGAATCTTAGAATATTCTTTATGAAATGTTTATAATATTTTAATATAGTAGTTAGTATATCCGCGGGTGATGACAGATTTCATTTGGATCTAATGTAATTATTAATATTTCGATGTGAAAAATTAATAATAACATAATTATAATGATCTAACCGAATAAATAAAATAATTAAAAATAGTTTAAATGACGAGGTCTTTTATTGTTAAATAAGAAAAAAGAATTTAGAATTCTTTTTTTTAAAAAAGGCATTTGTTTAACAATATCGTCTTATATAAACATTCCTTATACGATCATTATAATATAATTTCTTACAAGTTTCACCTGAATTCCGTAAAGAAAAAAAAAAAAAAAAAAATCCTGTAAAAAAAAAAAAATCCATCATGCCACCCAATAATGAATATGCAACTCGGGAATATATTCGTAATTATAGAAACAATAATAGTACTCGACCTCAATATGAAAGATATATTATTAAAGCTGAAAGCTTAGAGATGGGTGTTTATCTGCAACCACACATATTTGTCTCTGAAAAAAAATATACTGAACTTATCAATTTTGTTATTAACTATAGTACTCGTAAAATTAAAGTTGAATTTTCAGTACCAGGAAATAATAAACATAGTTTTGCTTATTCATTAGAGATTGAATTCAAAAATATTGATGGTGATATTTATATTGAAGGCCAAGATTCTTATCGATCAATTACTATAGCCAGCAAATTTCCTGCAAAGTATTCGTTATTTGATAATAAAAAACATATCTTAAATCGAATGACAAGAATTCCACCACAAAAAAGTGAAGGTCCTCTTCAGCCTCATATGCCAGATTATAGTGAACAACTTGGAAAGTGGGTTGTTTATAGAATAACATTTAACTTAGCTAAAAATAAAAATTATCGTTTCGAAAAAAATCATCGTTTTGGAGAAATGTTTAAAAAGGCCCAAGAATATAATTTAACATCAGGAAACTTCAATAACCCACTTGAAATAGTTGATGGGGTAGAATTAAATAAATATGTAGAACGTTCAATGTTAAATTTTGATGTTCTATATATGGTAGAATGTATTATTTCATTTAACTATTTGCATGATTATAATCTCAACAAAGAATTCTTTTTTTTATTACACAAACTACCACCACAATCTGCAGTTCATATATTAGAAAGGATTTATGAAAACAAAAAACGCATATACAATCCAATATCATATTTACGCTCAGAGTTCAAAAGACTCAAAGATGTTAAAATTAAACCAAACCATATACCAGATTATTGTACAATGATGCGCAAAATAATAGTAACTCCTACTACCATGTACATGTTACCACCAAATATAGAGACGTCCAATCGGGTTATTCGTTATTTTAAAGATAAGAAAGATAATTTCTTGCGAGTTCATTTTTCTGATGAGGCGTCCAATAAAATTGGTGCATCAAGTGGTGACATAAATGAAAAACATAGTCTTGCTTTGTATAACAGAATATTTCATACCTTAAATGATGGTATCAAAATTGGTGATACACATTACGAATTTCTGGCCTTTTCATCAAGTCAATTAAGGGACCATTCTTGTTGGTTCTTTGCTTCAACCAAAGATCTAACTGCGGATGATATAAGAAATTGGATGGGAAATTTCACGGATAAAACAGTTGCAAAGTATGCTGCCCGTATGGGTCAATGCTTTTCAAGCACTCGTGCAATTCAGCGTCTGCCTGTTCATGATATTAAGGAAATACCTGATATAGAAAGAAATGGTTATGTATTTTCTGATGGTATTGGAAAAATTTCTCATTTATTAGCAAGAAATATTGCATCTAAACTAGAATTAAAGTATATCCCTAGTGCTTTTCAATTTAGAATGGCTGGGTATAAAGGAATGTTATGTCAAGATAGTTCTTTACAAGAAAATCAAGTTAAAGTACGTAATAGTCAACGTAAATTTGATTCAACTCATAATGAATTAGAAGTGATTAGGTGTTCCGCTTATATTCCTTCCTATCTTAATAGACAAGCAATTACATTATTGTCATCATTAGGAATTCCTGATAATATATTTATTCGTATGAAAGATGAGCAGGTTGATCAACTGAATAAAATTCTTGAAAATGAAAGTACGGCAATAAGTGTTTTACAACATAATATTGATGAATATGGAACATCAAAGTCTCTTGCAGAATATGTGAAAGCAGGATTTTTACAAAAAAATGATCCTTATTTAATAAATTTAATTTCTTTATTCCGTATCACAATGTTAAGAGATATTAAAAAGAAAGCAAAAATTCGTGTTAATAAAGGAGCATTTTTGTTGGGAGTTTTGGATGAAACAAAATCATTAAAAGAAAATGAAGTATATTGTTGTACAAGTGATCCTTGTAATCCATCTAGCAGAAAATGGATTACAGGAACATGTATTGTATACCGTAATCCATGTTTTCATCCCGGAGATGTAAGAATTGTAAAAGCTGTAAAATGTGATGCTTTAAAAGATCTGGTGGATGTATTGGTATTTCCACAAGTTGGAGAACGTGATATACCGAATCAATGTAGTGGTGGTGATCTTGATGGTGATGATTTTACGTATGTATTTGAATTTCTAATATAATTGTTTTTTTAATTAAAAAAAAAAATAATTCATTTATACCTTTTTTTTCTGAAAACTTTAATTAGGATAATTTATGATGAGAATCTAATTCCAGAACAAATAGAAGAACCTATGGATTACAAAGCTCAAAGACCCAAAAAAGTTGAAAAAGTAACTATGGTTGATATAAAAAAATTTTTCGTAAATTATGTATTTTCTGATCAGCTTGGTAGAATTGCCAATGCTCATTTAGCAAGGGCAGATAAAAATCCAGAAGGTGCTAAACATGAATCATGTATTAAACTTGCACATTTACATTCAGATGCTGTGGATTTTCCAAAAACGGGGATACCTGCAAGTTTCCCATTAAACCTTCGTGTCAAAGAATTTCCAGATTTTATGGAAAAACCTGATAAAGCTGTTTATCAGTCTAAGAAAGTTCTTGGTATTTTATACCGCTCAATTAAAGAAGAAGATTATAAACCATATGTAGATTTGAATTTTGATAAAAGATTATATGTTGAAGGATATGTAAAATATTTAGAGGAAGCACGAATGCTCAAAAAATCGTATGATAGAGATGTTAAAGCATTGATGAATCAATTTGGAATAATGACCGAATTTGAAGTAACCAGTGGGTACATTATAAACACACATCCAATTGACAAGAAAAAACCACGAGATGTGGTAAAGTGTGTAATGGATGCGATGATCCCAATTAAAAAGCATTACAGAAAATTATTTGATACTGAATTCTATTACTTTAATGGTAGTACCATTATTACAATGGAAGCTTCTATTCAAATGGAACAAAAAGCCTTTGCATGGTATTATATAACATATCATCCTTCTGAACAGTCGGATGAAAATATGATATCATTTCCATGGATTGTGGGTGATATATTATGTAAAATTGCCTTAAGAAATCATTGTAATGACAGAAAAAATGATTTTATTAGAAGTTTACAACCAACACGACAACAACCATCACAATTGACAGTAAATCAAAATAATTTTACTACAAACCACTTTGATATTAATGTTAATAATTGTAATAATGATTTATTTAATTTGAAAAAATTAATTCAGATAAAATAATTAACTTATATATGTTTTCCAATTTGCAATATTGCGCCCTGTAAAAAATTTTTCAGAAAAATGATCACGTGTCTGAGTTTCTTTGGAGTTTGGAATAAAAAAAAGCTAGAAAAATGATCATTTATCGGAATTTTTTTTATAGGGTGACACGAATATAAAACTTCATATAATTTAACAATTTTAAAATCTTTTTATATTTTTCCTTATCAGATTTTATATTTATTATATTTATTATAAGTATGACATTTTTTTTTTTTTTGTATATTTTATATAATTAGTTATATTATTATAGGGTATAGTTATATTATTATATAAGTAAGGACAATTACATATATATTATACAATAAATATATATTTTATTATTAAATTTTATGTTAAATATTTTTATTATGTATTATGTAAAGTCCTCAATGAAGTAATCTAGCGTTAAAATACTAAAGGATTTTATTTTATCAATTACTGTATGTATTGTTATATATTAGTTTGATCAGATAGTGATGTCATTGTACTCACTACTCAAGTATCACAATAACGAAATCAATAGAATTATAAGCTTGAGCAAGTTTGACAAAAATTTTAATGAAAGCTTGAGTAAATGTTAAAGGGTAATTAAAATTTCTTGCATTAAAAGTAAAAAAATCTCGCCAAGAACTTATTTTTACTATACTAAAATAAATTAAATTGAAATGATGATGATTGGGTGTTTTTCTATCAATTGAAGATCATCTGTGCAAACTTTATTCCTTCTTTTGAATTATTTTAATATTTGACAATATTACAATTAGTGTTGGTCTCTGTAAATAGTTGTAAGTCCAAAAGTTAAGTAAATATAATGGTTGTAAATCAGACTGAATTATCATCTTTTAGCCAATTTACAGCCTAAATTTATAGTAATATTACAACTGCTAAAGCCCTATAAAAAAGGAATGTTTAGAATATATACATAAAATATACAATATACATAAAATGTCTATAGAATGTCCATAAAATATATAAAAAATATACAAGATGGGCTCACTGTATATAAAATGTACAAAAAAATATATGAGTCCCCTTTGCATATATCCTATGTGAAACTATGGACATTCTATAGACATTTTATGTATAATGTACATTTTATGTTTATTTTATGTATGTTTTCTGAACATTCCTTTTTTATAGGAAAGGTTGTAATTTGATATATAATAATCATTACTTATGGCAACCAATCTTAATTACAATAAGAAAAATTAAACTCAATAGTTTCAGTTTTATTTGAATTTATAATCTATGTACTTTGCATATATAAAGTGCAGCATGTAAATTATTTTTAACTTATTAATTACATTTTATTTGTTGCAATGTTACTAAATAAAGTTTTAAATTTTTAATAATTAAAATTCTAAATCATGTATTATTTAATAAACATTCCATTATTTCTTAAAATGAGTCTGCTATATGATTAAGTTGAATTGATATTTACTATGATATCATAAGGTTATAAATTATCATCTAAATAAGCTTTATTTATAAAAAAAAATATGGAATACATAATGAAATTTATTATTACAGTATATTCTTTTAATTGTTTAATACTTTGCAGAAACTTTTAAAATCGAAACCATATCGTAACTATATCAAAACTTTATCATAGAACTTATCGTAAAGATTTAATACCATATCGTGACCAAATCTTGATTATAAGTTTTCGCGGATCGTATGTATAAGGTTGACGCATATTAAGGAGATCGTCACCTGATATAACCGGGTCGTACAAAAATCGTATCGAGCTTAGTCCACGTTATATTCAATGTATATTAGAAATATATTAAAGTTGTATTTGATGTATAATAAAATTGTATTTAATGTATATAAAAGTTATATTTAATTTATATTTAACATATCGTGAAGTTGCATTTAGTTTATATAAAAGTTATATTTAACGTATCGTAATATTGCATTTAATTTATATAGAAGTTATATTTAACATATCATAAAATTGTATTTAATATGTATTAAAGTTACATTAAATGTACATTAAAGATAAAATTAATTTTTATTTTTGATGTCGCAAATAAATCGTAAAGTGTTCTATTCTAAATCCAATTGTACGTGTTCTAAATCATGAATAAAATGAAATTGTTCTATGAACAATAATTATAACATCTCCAGACCACAAATAATAAACATTAAATGGCCTTGAAAAAATACAAGTTTTGCATATACAAATCATTACTTGAATTTTGATCGCCTTCGATGCATTCTTCGTCTTTTCAACAATGAACGAAATGCACTATTTTAATCGCATTTACTAAACTAATAGAAAAAACTCTTTGCTGATTAGTATGTGTCTTTTGTAACTGATACATTGGACAACCTAGCCTTGTTCGATTTAATTCCTCAAACCAATCAACGATAACAAATGCAAATCTAAGGTCGTTCTTTTGATGACAAAATATCGCTCTTATAATCTCAAAATTGTTTCCATTTCCGAAATTGATCGATACAACATCCCCGATATGTAAATGGCGCAGAATAGTATTATCTCTTTCATTTTCAAAGATAAAACTCGCAAATTCGAAGAATGATGGTGTGATGTCAAGTATCACAGAATCGTCTCCAAGGTCTTCATAAGCTAGTTTCAGTTCTGCATTAATATTCAACAATGGCGATATCACAACGTTTCTTCGGAAAATGCGCTTCTTTAACAATATATTAGAAATTTGTTCGTCTGGTGAATAGACTTTAAGTACCATTACTAGTTAATAAAATATTCATTTTTAACAATTATAGGATAATATTATACTATACCTTCGCTCGCATCATCATTAATATCGATATTATCTTTTGTAATAATGAACCAGTTGCTCATCAAGCGTCGCAGATGTTTTGGTAGATTCATAAATCCTCTGTTCTGTGTATATAACCTCAAATCTATGCCACTGTCTAATAAATGCCGTATTGCAAACAATGTGGTGTAATTCTTTAATAAATCCAAACTCACATTTTTTAGATTCGTTTTGGGTACAATGTTCTTGAATAGTCGGTGAACCATCTCTTTTGTTCCGACACTTGTGTTTAATAACGTTGCATAATTTTTTGCGTGTAATAGCAGATGAAAGCTGGTGTGTAGATTCTGTAAATTCTCAAAATCTTTGAATGCCTATTTGTAAACGAATGAAATAATTAGGATTAATTGCGCAATATGACAATAAATGTAATAAATAAATTATATTGAATAGAATTATGAGTAATTTTTTCTTTTCTTTGTATTTCGATTTGTTGGTTCCTCCAATTATCTTTTTCTATTTTGCTATCATTTATTACACTGTACAATAGCGCGTTATACTAGAATTAATAATAATACCTGTTATAAAAGAATTCGTTTATTACATAAGCATTCGCTCAATTCACTATATTCTTCCGCTGTAAAGGAATCTTTAAACACCATTGCCTTCGTTTTTGCCATTACTATCCAACATTTTAACCATAGTTTTATAGCATGATCACTTCTAGTAACTCCCGTTCGACGTTGAAATAACTCAAGTTCCAAGTTCTTAAAATGTGTATTTTTCAAAAATCTATTAAGAATAAAAGGAAACATCATGGTCAGTTGTAAACAGTCCGACATCATGAAACTGTCAATATGTGATATCTGGTTTGGCAATTTTCGCCAAGTCTTTGGATATTCAAAGGACTTCCAAACCGTAATAAATTTTGATTTTCCTTCTGATGAAAGTGCTTCGATTGTAATCTTGAGAAATCTCAGTACTTTTCCTGCCGTAAGATGTTATGCGTCTTGGGGAGACTGTAGATGTCTTTCCCTCTTCAATTGATCGAGTATTGATGGATTTAACCGTAATCCGTATTCTGCCGCGATTGCTTTACGTTCTGTAATAGTTTGTGCCGCATATATTTCCTCAAATTGCTTATCAGACTGGTGATGATAACGGGAACCTAACAGAAAATCAAAGTTATTGGATGTCAGAGAATCTTTGGTCATATTACAAGTCCAACATCCCTTATTAGCGCCATGACGTTTGACTCTGGCCATATCATTCCCTTGTGGCAAATCGGCAGTGGTAACACCAAGACTTGCAATAACGATGCATTCATTTCCTCGAATGTCCATAATTTTCCTTTCTCTAACACCTTCATTTCTGTAATGAATGGTTTGATAAATTCATCGAAGGAACCACCGAAAGGAACGAATCTTAGCACGAAATGGTTCTTGAGATGATGTCTTTCGGTAAGCGGTGAGATCCCCCAATTCCCTCTGTCATCAATTTACAGAGTTACCACATTGAACAGGCATTCTCATGGTCGAACGAACGAATGAACGAACGAACGAACAATTAAACGAACGAGCAATTAATCAACAACATAATTAACAAACAACATAATCAATGAACAATATACAACAACATATAACAACAACATTCTTGGTTCACAACATAAATAGCGTTAGTAATATAAAATGTCGAACGATATAAAATAAAAATTTAACTTCTCTAAATTTTCCCCAAATTATATCCACTTTTACCTTTAATTTCAAACTTCGATAGCTCTCGCTACGAATTATTACTTTCCAAAAGTGTATATTTAATTCATCTTAAAATTTCCATTTATTCAATTAAAATTAATTAAGCAAACATTAATTAAAGTTTAGGGCGAACCTATTACCTTTAACTAACATTAAACTTTACTAACAAATAATTAAAAAAATAAAACTTATATTTTTATTGAGTTCTGTGGATGAGAACTGTGGAATTACTTTGAATCCCGTTCTTTATTTATACAAATTTACACTACTTTCTATTCTATCTATATACTATCTTTTATATTCTTTTTACATATTATCTTTGAACTATCTTTCTAATATACTATCTATATTTTAAATACGCTATCTTTTAATATGCTATCTTTTATATATATATATNTGGCTAATTATTTATCCATCTACGCCAATTCATAATTAATTTGTTCGTTCTTAACATTTGGCAATTACATTTGGTAGTTGAATTTTATCATCTTTTCATGCTTGATATTCGACCGTTTACAGCGGCATGTTGCCTATTTGAATGTAAACACCGCCTAACGAATGATAGACGTTGCGGAATGTCCCAAAGTCGTCATAGTACAAATCGATAAATAACTTGTAGATCGGAAGAGATGTTCTTGGTTCTTCCAATGTCGCGAATTCTGAAGGATGTTGATATGAATACTTGACATGCCTTATCTTCCAGTGACCGTTATGTTTGTAGAGAATTTCCCTAATTTTATACGAATGAGGATCATTTGCAACATTATCATAAAGAATAGAAATGTTTAACTGATTGACTATTGCTTGTGATTCGACGTTCATGATTGCATCATCCATCTCTCGGTCCATAAACCAAAGTTCGCCTTCTTGGGATCTTTGTTTTCGATTATTGCTTTGTAGATTTCCTGGTAAATCTTTTAATATTAAAATTCTTTGGATTTTAATCTTTAACTGGCCATCTTGTTGTATAATTGCTAATATACGACCAAGTCTTTTTGCTTCCTTAGATTCTCTGTATATTACAAAATCTCCCGAGTAATAAATATTTTGAGCGATTGTGATAGACGCTTGACCAAACTTTGGCGATTCCTTCCAAATATTACCGTGCTAAAATTCTTTACTCTTGGTGACTTTCTGGCCCGGTCCAAAGTACATATTATCTGATATTGAAGGATTATTCAAAATATGATGAATGATATCCGTGACAGACAAGTAATACGCTTTTCCAGTGTCTTTAGACGTTGATGGCATTTTCTTGTTAGAAATATTAATTTTCCGAGATCGTATTGGGAGTAAAGGTAACCTCCGTCTATATTTCCTAAATCGTCAGCTATTTAGCACAACGTCATCTTTTTTGAACTGTGGATGACGGATAATATCAACTAGTTCGTCATATGCTTGAGTAGCTAGTGAAGAATTGCTGTAAGTTATAATTGTATTTTCGTTTATAAGCTTGAAATGATACAACTTACATATATGATGTTTTTACATCCAACAAAAAAACAGGGATTCAGTGATATTGTTGAAATATGGATTGAATTCATTTGACTGTGTGAAATGTGGCAGTTGTTCATTATTGAGAGGTTGATCAATGATTTCCTCTTCTGATGCTTCTTCGCTTGTTTCTTCATCACTTTCATTTTCATTACCTCCTCTATCACCTTCATATTCGTCGCCCTCATTAAACTCCTCCATCATCCTTTCATATTCACTTTCGAACGCTATATTATCTTCGCTCACTTTTTCACTTTCTGCACTTTTTGTATCTATGGTTGGCTTCATTTCTTCGTTTTCATCATAAATATCTATAATATCATGATCATTACTATCTGTAGCTTTGTTATCTAGAAGAATCAAATATTGTTGGAACAAGTGTATATATCATAACGACAAATATCGATATTTACCATTTTTTCTGTTTAACGTCGAAGCTATATTGAATGCGCTATATCTTTGTCTAATATAACTGCGTTGACTAATGTTAGAAACATAATTACTTCGGAACATTTTTTCAAAGTGAAACTTAACCACGTTAAAAGATAAAAATTATCAGTTTTTGAAAAGAATTTAACTTTTGATAAAGTTATCACTAGAAAGACTAAAAAGTAATTCAAAGTTTAAAAAATTTAACTATCTATTAAATTTAAAATTTAAAATTTAACTTCTGTTTAAATTTCACACTAAACGCGTAATTTAAAATTAAACTTTCTTTTTACTAAACGTAGTTAAAATTTAACTTTCTGTTTAAATTTACACTAAAATTAAACTTTTTGTTTAAAATTTACACTACAAAATTTAACTTTTAATTGAAATTTACATTATAATATAAAAGTTAACTTTCGATTAAAAAAAATTCGAATAAAAAAATATATATATTTTCATTAAAGAAAAAAAATAATAATATATTTCGAATTAATATATTTTTTCTATTAAAAAAAAAAAATTAAAACCTTTCTGTTTCAAAGGTAACATTATCAATTTATCAAAAATATTTTTAGAATTTTTCATCTATTTCTTTTAAGGGATTCTTTAATAATAACGTAATACATATATCACAAAAACAATTCGTTAAAATCTATTGTCGCTATTTATGCTATTTATAGTAAACTATTATGCTAATCATTACGTGTTAAGAAAAAATATCAAAATAATACAACGTAATATTATTATTGAACAATTCGAATAATTGTTTTATTCTGATTATTCTAATTATTATTAGAAATTGGTTTGTTACATATGCTATTGGAGTCTATAAAAGTTTAGTCTATTTATAAAATTTAATTGTTCTATTTATTGTATTACAATCAATCTCCTTTTTTTCTTACAATTTTCCCTTACAAACAATCTCCTTTTTTTCTTACAATTTTATAATTTTTAATATTTTTTTCTTACGCACAACTCAAAGTTTAAAGTCGTTTCAGCATTATCATGCCTCCTAAAAAAACTACTCGAGGTCAAAAGAAAAAACAAAATGTTATCCCTATTGACGAAGACTAAATCAGCGATCCTTCAAGTAACTTTTCGTCTTTTACTGTTATTTTAAAAAACTATGCCATATTCTTAATTTTCTTTCTAGTTCCAAAAGAAAATCAAGAACCGGAAACGGATCTAAATAAAAAACCTTCAACTAAAAGACGAGGTCTAAAAAGGAAGGATCCTGTTAACTATAACAAATCTACAAATGATGCTGATCGACAAACTGTATCACCAAATACCAAAACTGTGGTATCAACTTCCAAGACTACCATGAAACGCAGGCGTATAACAGCTGCTATCAATGAAATTTTAAATTAAGACGTTGGCATTAGAGAACTAGCTGCTACCGCCATTGCTGAACTAACTCCGATAAATAAACTTTTAGAATTAAGCGATGATGATGTTCTTTCAGAAGGTCTCTTTTTATCATAATTTGATATAACCTCATAAATTTTGTTTTAACCTTCATAAAATTTTGTTTTAACCTTCTTCAATTCTTTAGATGAAGTTCAGTTTAATAAAAATAGTGCAGATATCGAACGTGAACCTCTAACTCCGATTACAAATGATAGTAATAGAATTTATAACAATATACTATTAGATGGGATGGATGAATCCGGAAATGTTGATAGAATTCGTAATAATGACTCATATCGATCAAATGAAATACATGAACCTCGCTTTCGTTTACATTATAATACTACACCTGGTCCTAATCTTCCTAGAGAGTTTAATGATGATGTTTTTCGTCTGAATCCACAAAAAGTGTTTCATTTGAATACACCTTTTTTTACTAATGATCATAGTGATGCTCGTTCGACCTTCCAAACATCAGAATCCACACTTCCAGCATCATTTTGCGATATGGGAAACATTTATCATATCTGTTCTTGGTTATGTGCAAACCTGAGCATCTTACTACTTGCTTATAATCTTTATTTGTCGATGCAAACACCAGTTGCAACCTCATTCAACTTGGTTACACCAAACGTTAATTCAGCAACATTAGCAACCGGTATACTACAAGCGTTAAGGCAAGAGGACAGAGTAAATACAACAATCATTTATTTTGTCATTAGTTCTTGTTGCTATTGTTTAATAACTTGCATAATTCAGACGAAAGCCAATCGAGACTTTTTAGAAGAATTGAAATGCCTATTTCTTCGCGCTTGAGGTCCTGAAAAGAGCGCTTTTGAAGAATTTGTCCGGCAAGTTTTTAACTATGATCTTAACTCTGCGGAAGGTATCTAGTGTTTGCGTGCGGCCAGTAGGAATTTCAGTGACTTTCGCAATAAATTTCTTGATAATATTGAGGAAGCAGTCACTATATTTAAGAAAAAGAGAGTTGTGTAAGCAGACCATCATTTTATTTGAATTTTCTGTTGCTTTTCTACGGATTTTTACCAATTAATTATTTTCACTCACAGAGAAAATGAAAACATCCGTCATTTGGAGGGGCATGAGATAAATTTATTCATCAATGAAAACTTAATGTTAAATATTTTGCAAAGATGGTTAAGCGCAACAAACATGACCGAGTTAAAGGCTAACCATTCTTTGCGGACTTTACAAAAGTTTGTTCAAAGGGCATTTGTTGTAAATTATAATTCTAGAGATGTTGATGCAACGAAGGCTTTGGATAAAATGACAAAAAATATAGCAGTTCCGTCAAGAAACGGCAAGAACATTGCCAGCAGATTGCAATTGTGATTATAGATTTCATGTGTTTTATTTTAAGATTTTAATTATAAAAATAAAAAAATATGCGGGCGGTTACAATAGTATATTACAATAAAATGCTATATATGACGTTTTATTATTATTTTTCTTAACAAATACGTTTTCACACTAGTTTTCTTATTAATTTTTACAAAATGATATTTTTACTATTATGTAATTAGTAATTAGTTTTTTATTAATTTTATTAGGTTAAATTTATTAAATAAAAAAAAATTAATCATCGTCAAGTGATATTTAATGCATCGAAAAATTATCTTGAATTGATTTTTTCGGCTAAATTTTGATGACAATAACCATCAATTCACCACCTATTTACCACCTATTCACCACCTATTTAATAGCATTTTACAACTTCGTAAAGATATGTTATTGACAATTTCACAAGATCGTTTGATACCACGTCTTCACATGATGGTTAATAGATCGTTGTGATTTGATGGCGATGTCTTAACTGCATGGTAACAAATCACGGGTTTCTGCAAAGTATATTTAATATATTTAATCTGTTTTGAGCTTTTTGATGTCCTTGTTCAGCAGATTTTGTATACCAATAAATTGCTTGATTTATGTCCTTTTTAACTCCATATTCATTTTCATACATAGCAGCAAGATTATATTGAGCTATATAATTTCCTAAATTTGCAGCCTTTTGATATAGTTCAAATGCCTTTTGTTTATCAACATTAGTTCCAATTCCATAGTCATAACAGCCTCCTAAATTATTTATTCCAAGTGTATTTTCTAAATTTGCTGCCTTTTGATATAATACAAATGCCTTTTGATGATCAATACTGATTCCAATTCCATAATGATAACAATATCCTAGACTATATATTCCACGTGCATTTCCTGAATTTGCTGCCTTTTGATATAGTTCAAATGCTTTTTGATTATCAACATTTGTTCCAATTCCCAGTTCATAACAGTATCCTAAGCTAATTATTCCAAGCACATTTTCTGAATTTGCTGCATTTTGATATAATTCAAATGCTTTTTGTTTATCAACATTAATTTCAACTCCAAAATGATTAAATACTCCAAGTAAAAGAACAGAATTTAAATTATTCTGATTATTCAATAACCAATTATAAATTTCTTTTGAAGTTATATTATGATTATTAAGATAATTAACAATTTCATATTTTCTCCTTACTGTTGTTACATTTTCAAGAAGAATAATTATTTCATTAACCATTATGTCAAAATTATTTTTTGATGATATTGAAGTATCCATTTCTTCTGTATTCATAGTATTAAAATTTTGAATAAGTTGAGACATTTCTCCATGCAATGAACTATTAATCATATTTCTAGGAATTTCAACAATATCCTGCTGTTCACTTGATAATTGGATATTTTCTTTTAAAATAATTGCATTTAATTTTGCAACAACTTGGTTGATAGTTGGACGATTATCTGGTTCATTATTCCAGCAGTCTAAGTATAAAATAGACTTGTAATTAATAAAAGCAATTATTATGAACATAATTTAAATTTATTTTTATTTACCAGTATATATTTTTATATAATCATCAGGTGTATTGGGAATGGGTTTCTCTCTAAGACCATGTAATATTTCCATAGCCAAACCAAGATCATATGGTTCATTACAAAAAGGTGGTAGTCCACTAGATATTTCCCATAAGAGTACACCAATACTGTAAACATCACTCTTTTTATTTAATGAATATATTTGAACTTGATTGTTGCTATCTCTTTTTCTATTAAATATTTGTGGATCAACATAAGTAACCATTCCAAATAATTTTGATTGAATATTAGATGATTCTTCAATCCTTTTTGATAATCCAAAATCAGCTAATTTAACGGTATCCTTATGAATTAATACGTTATTGGAGTGCTATTATTAATTAAAATGATAATAATATTAGGTAATAAACTTACAAACTGTATTAATTTAATAAAATGTTAAAATGTAAATAACCTACCAAATCACGATGCACAATCCCTTCATCGTGTAAAAATGATATAGCATTAGTTAACTGAAATGCTAGATTTAATTTGTTATTCCAGTTAAGGTCTTTAAAGCATCTGTTTAAATAGCTTCGAAGGGTACCATTATTGGCATATTCCATCACTAATAAATATTTCTTTGAATTGTTGCTTTGATTTTCTTTTTTTAAGAAAAAAAAATAAATAAAATTTATTTAGATTTTTTCATTTTATCAAAATCATAATATTTTAAATATTTATAATACCTGTTGTAATGCCATAAAAACGAATTATATTTTCATGAAAATCAATTTCACGCTGAAGTTTAAGCTAAACCAAAATAGAAATGATAAATTAGGAACATAATTCACGTTAACATATTATTAAGACAATACTATATAATAGTTACTTCATTAACAATTTCTTTAGCCATAACATTGAAATTATAAAAAGATTTCAATGCTAAATAACTATGAGAACTTTTCCAATTTGCACGATAAACTTTTCCAAAACTTCCAAAGCCAACCTCTTTAATGCTATTAAAATGATTATAATCATAATATTTAATTTGATTTTTCGCAATAGATTCTTCAATCCAATCAATCCACTCATTTGAATTATCAATAACTTCAAATTCAGTAATGTTAGACATTGTTTTAAATACAGAAAAGTTTTTACTGCGGTAGTTAGTTTTTAATGTAAGTTAATTTTATGTTAAAGAAAAAAAAAGAATTTTGTCTATTTATAGAAATTTGGTGTTACGAAATAAATTTGTGTAGTTTGTATAATTTGTAAATCATGCTCATGCAAGGCAAAAAAAACAATTTTAGTAAGACGACGCTCTGTCCTACGTTTGACTGCGCCAAAATCAATAAATAATTTTAACGTGACATGACGTTTACATAATTTTTTTAGGACATATGACACAACCAAATTTGAAACTTAATTGCCGATTCGTCTAAGAACGGCACTGCGTTACTAATAAAATTCGGGGTTAAATTTGCCGATTTTGTGCTAGAACACAATCTTCAGAAAGGATATTTTCATAGACGACATATTAACTATAAATAAAAGTCATATGATATACTGAAAAAATGCTTGAAAAAAAAAGATTTTGCAAAAAAAAATTATACGTTCATATGCAAAATAATGAGTTTACTATGTACGCGCGTCAGATTTACACCTTAAAATGTAAGAAATTTCAATATTTTATTTTACTATATCATGTTATTTACATTACAAACATATATTTTTTGGCTTTCTAAGCTTTTTTTAAAGACTTTTTTTAAATATTTTTCTTTATAGAACTAGTAAAAAATTGAAGGGTACTTTTATTTGTGAAATGGGTGAAATGGGTGAAAGTTTATCCTGCGCGTGAGATGTAAAAAACGGGTTTTTTTATTATCGTTAATATCCCCGAATTTTATTAGTAACGCAGTGCCGATTTTAGACGGATTGGCAATTATCGTCTCAGCGTAGTTTATTATGTGTAGATCGTGAGATCGCAAACAAATTCTTTAGTTACCGGAAAAACTTACTCTGAAACCAATTTCTTTAAACATCTAAAATTTAAAATGTGATACGATATTTCATAAAAAATAAAAATACTTTCTATTTGATAAGAATGATTGCCATTCTATTTTATTCATTTGCTATCACATTACGTATTCATAAGAATTTGCCTATTCTCGGACGTAAATTTAATTGTAAAAGTTTTTTTCTTGATTTGATAAATTGTGAATATTTCAATTAATTTAATTTATATAGGTTTTTTTATTAAGATAAATTATTTTTTTTTATTAGACATTCAATGTGATTTCACAAAGTGTACAATTGACATTAGTAGATTTTTATTTTAAAGTTAACGGTAATAAAAGTTTAAATAGGCTATTATAAATTTAATAATAGAAAAAACTCATTTTTTAGTATAATAATATATAGACGAATAAGAAGATGGATGAACGTATCATCAAAAAAATATTTGCTTTAATCGATTTTTTACTAAACATTATATCAATTAAATAATTCTGTGAGATATTTAATATATATATACTTTAAAGGTGAAGAATAGTGTTTATGATGTCATATGTAGGGTGAATATAATTACTTTTTAAAGTTAACATATGTTCTAAATAGGATATAAATAAAAGACACTGAAATTGTAAAACAAAATGTTTGCTAAGCATAATTCTCGTCCTAAAATAAGCAAAAAATACTGGCGTAAAAAAAAAAGTATCTAAATTTTAGAGAGCTTTGTAGTTCGTAGCTACCATACAGAAACTACTACAGTAGTTGAATTCAGTTATAAAACTATTTAGATTTTCAAATTTTTCTATTTTTTATTACATTACTTTTTGATAATTCATATTATGTTCTATTAAATTCACCATACCATTTATCATTAACTGTAAATATATATTATACTGTTAAAATAATCTCAAATTTTGTTAATATCATATGTTGTATCTCTATATTAATTTCAATGGTTAAATGATTGTAATTATTTTGTTTCATATCAGTAAAACAATATGTATATAATAGCAATAACCAATTTTAAGCATCAATTGAATCTGCTTATTTTTATATATTTATTCCATAAAAATAGCTTTTTGTTATTCATTTATAAAAAAATTTAATATTGTTAATCATTCTTGTTAATCAATAAATCTATTGTCTTTGATAAAAACTTTATTAATTTTTTTTTTTATTTGAAAAAGCTCTTTGAATTAAATCATAAAATAAATCTGATTTCAATAAAGAAAAAAAAAGTTTTTAAAATTATGAAAAAAAATCTGTATAGGAATATTATATCTAATTTAAATTAAATAATATAATTTTATATTTAAATAAGTTTGCTGTATTGGCGAACTTATATTTTTTTAAAAGTAACTATCAGATATTCAAAAATCAAATGAAAAGAAAATTAATTTCTAAACAATTAAAAAGCTTATTGATAATAAGTTTAAAATTGAAATTTTGTCAAGTCTTAGTTTTAAAAGCAGTTAAATTAGTTAAATTTATAACAACTTTTTGATAACCATTATTATTATTACATTAAAATCTTTTATGAAGATAGAAAAAATGTTCCAAACTAGTTGAGAACTAAATTTAATAATCCTTATATTAAGCAATAATTAGTATCTGAATTATCTTATTAATAATATTGTTATATATTACTAACAAATCATGCAATAAATAAAAAACATCAATTTATACATTATTCTTAAATTAATTTTATTTGGAAGTCATATTTCATCAGTCTTATTAGAATATGACAATTAGTTATGTTTGATTTATTATTTATAGTAAAAATTACACATCCATATCAGTTTGGTATATTTACAAATCTGCGCCTAATGTGAGTTGCAAACTAAAAGGGAAATCACTCAAAAGAGGATATGAAAATGCAAGTCATATCTTGTAAGAAAATTCACAAATCTACTAACTTGAACAGATTCAAATGAGTAATATATTTTAATTGTTATTATTATTAAATTATTGTTATTTAAATAAAATGTATTCGCATTATTAACATCTAAAAAGATAAAGAAAATATGGAGCTATAATTAATCTAAATAATTTATAAGATCTTAGAATTCTTTTTTTATTTAACTGATCTATTATAAAGTTGTACTTTGCAATTAGCTTAATATACTACTCCTTTGAAGTCAAAAGAAAGTATATTCACAAAATATCACAAATGTGCATTTTTGAATATATAGTTTTATTCATAATTAATTTGATTATTGTGACTGATTGAATATAGTATAGATCTAATAATTATGATTTTAGTAATATGAACTGATAAAAAAATATATAAAATATCATTAATTACAATAACATTAACTGAAAACATATAATATAATATTTACTTAAGATACCTACTATAACTTATATTACTATTATAAAAAAAAGATATGGTATTAAAATTCCTGAAACAATTAATGATTTATCAATTAGACTTCTCATTTAGCATTTGAGTTGAGAACTTATCAATCAAGCAATAATTAACCTCTTGTTTGATGCTTAGCACAAGCTGTGATTCTTAGTCGACAGTAATGAACTCATAGTTCAATCTTAGTACAAGCTAGTGCTCTTAGCCTTTCTATCTAGTTTAATGTATTGTATTTATTAGTTGAGATGTTTTCTTATAAGTAATAATATATTAGTTATGTATTTCACTATCCAAGAATTGGACAATCATACAAAAGAATATGAAACATTCCATTGGTGTGAAATCCAGGCTCAGACCAGGCATCTGCAGGAAGTTTCTATTCTGATTTCTGATAAATCAAAAAAATAATATAAATGATGTCAAGAAAATGAAAAGTTATGCAATTACAACCTGTCAACCGATGCAATTCAGTTAGAAATTGTCTTCAAAGTGTTGATAGTAGAGCATAAACTCTTACATAACAGGTCCCAGTATTAAGGATAATAACAGAGAATACCTAAAGAGACCTAATTCTATAAAACAAGATGTATATTTTTTAACTAGAAGTTAAGAATCAGTAGAAGTAGTGTAGAAGTCCAGAGCCAATTATCTTTATTTTAACATTTTATAATGGATAAACAAAACCAAAATAGCCAATTTAAAATGGATCTATATTTTAATTCAACCTCTACATAACTGAATATCTCATTTGTGCAGGCTTCCAGACTTTAAAAATTAGTATGGATAATTGGGCCTTAATATTGATTAAAATATGGAAAATTTATATTTTCAAGAGTTATTGCATACCTGTTGAGATTTTTATATTTAGCTTTTTATACTTAATTGTGAAAATATAACAAAAAGATTGTAAAATCTTACATTATTACTTAATAATGAATCAATACCCTTAAAAAGACTGAAACAAAATTAAATTATATGATTTATATTTACTACTAATTGTTAAAGATAAATGATACATACTAATAATAAATTTGAAAATATGAATTGAATTATTAATTTAAATAAATAGCTAAACAATAGAGATAATGAATTTTTGAGATGATAGATATAGATTAAGTAAACATGTAAAGATAAATAATATCTATCTATAATCTATTTATTTTAAGAATGTTAAATTACTAAAATATTTTATAATTTTTACACATATAGTTATAGTATTTTTGATATAATAAAGTAATATAGTAATATATACATGATGTTAAAAGTTCTAAATGAATTCCATGCATTATATATCATAGTATATTATTATATAATAAATAAGTAGTATAAAGTTATATTAAATCATGCTAATCTCCATATTATTATAATAGATCAAAATAGAAATTTTATTATTTCCTTTGAATTTAGCTTACCAAAAATTTATAATGTAATGAAATTAATGTGGTAAAAAACTAAAAACAAATTACATTGAAAATAAATACTACAAATTGTATTATTAAAGCAATAGGATTATTACTTTTTACAAAAAAAAGATTTCAATATCATTTACTTGTAGCTTCAGTGGTATATCACGCTTTAATATAATGAAATGGATGATATACTAGAATTTCTATGGAATTGGCCAAGATTAATTATATAATAATTATAGATATCAGAAATTAACAAATTTTACATAAATATAAGGCAATAAAATTCTTATCGAATTTTTTAATTTACAAATTTAATTCTTTTAACACAATTTTTATTTTATAACCCAAATATTTTAAATCTTAATATAAATAACGTAGTATCAATCTGGCTAAATGATGCCACTCAGACATTAATAAGGTAAATTTGTATTAATCTTACAATGAAATTATCTATAAAAAAAATTGGAAAAATAGTAACTTTATTTATACTAATTAGATACTATCAGCAATATCTTGATCTTTTTGAAGATCATTCAATTCGTGACCATTTGATATGAATGAAAATTGTGACAAGAATAAATAATAACTATAATTTTATCATAACCCAAAACCAGTGTTGCAATAAATGGAATGCGCTAAAAAGAGGTGAATCTTTTAACATTTGTAATTTAATTTGTGAATATTAGTAAATACTTTATTAATATATATAATTAATAATAGGATATGAAAACTTGTCCAGAATAATTAATGGTTTGTAGTATATTTGAGGTTAATGTTAGATTTCTCAAACAATTCACATAAAATCAATTTTATTTATTTTAGGAAATCCCAAGGGATACCCATTCACTCTCCCAACAACTATGACATTCATTTTTTTAACATAAAATATATCAAGTTGGGTGACATTCAATCCATTATTCTGTATTTGACTAAAAGTTTTATTAAGTTTTGACATTAATAATATAATATTCTGATGGAAATACATTTTAATATTATCTTTATCAACATTATTGTTCTATAAAGTTCCCATTAATATTATTTTTTTATATGGTTTACTCAGATTAGCTGTAAAAAAAAGAGAGATAAAAAGTATAATCAATAAGTTACTAAGTGGTAAAATAAGTTATAAAGAGAGTAGCAATAAATAGGCAAGAGAGTAATAAATTATGTCTCTTTACTTTTTATAAAGGTAACTTTTTTATTTGATTTATTGGTAGTCCATTTTGATTATGATGGACTGATATTTTCTCATTAATGGCTAAATATTTAATAAATTATTTATTACATTTTAACCTAAAATGTTATAAATATAAACTGGTAAAATTTTTTTTTGAAATTCTGTGGGAAAATCTGATATATATTAAATGCAGATAGAGTAAGTGGCTAGAGTATGCATCAATGTTAATCAAAATAATCAGATTTCTCGAGATTACTGCTTATACTATACGTAACTGTCATGGCTTGTATTACTTCTGAATTCTGATCATGAATTAATGAATTAGACTTCCCATTTTCTAATTCATCAAAAAAAGAATAAAATATTCTTCAAAGTCACAATTCATCTTAATTTTAATTTTATGATATTCAAAAAGAATATATTTTTTTGAAATTACAATATATATTTTTTTTGCTTTAGTAATGTTAATGTAAAATTTAATATATATAATTATTCATTGTTCCCAGTTTAAGCATGCTATTTATTAGGTTTAAAAGTTACATTTAAAGGTTAATTAAATTCAATTTGCACCTTCACTTTTTTTAAATTAAATAAAAATGTATTGTCCGGACTTTTGTTAAATTTACTAATATATTTATTTCATCATTTTCTTAACTCGCCTTCTCTTTCTTCATTCTATTATATTTATTTGAATATGACATTCAATAATCAATATTGCTTGCTATTTTTTATCGACAACTTTTTGACTAACACTTATTTGTATAAAGAAATGTGATTTGTTATTTTTTACGATCGGTAGTCAACAAATCTTTTATGGTGTAATTAATATTTACTCGTGATAATTACTTATGTCATGCTATCATTTCTTTCGCTACTGATAAACTTATAACATAAAAAAAATATTTTGACAATATTTTTCATCACATTTTCTCTGATAATTAAGTTTGGTCAAAATTTGTGAATCGTAATGTTGGCCGACCTTGAATAATTCTGACCAAATCACAGAATTTCACATGATTAACTTTATCACACGCAGAATTCATCCTCAGTGATGTTACTCACAATCACTAATTGTGCGTCAGTTAATTAATTAATATAAATAGACACAATAGTAAAATGTGATACACAAATACCTCTCTTTCTCTTTTCAACTTACAATATGTCATGTTCAAAATTATTTTCAGGAGATTTTCCCGAATTAACTTATGAAGTTATAAAATATTTATAGAATGATCATTCAACTTTACATTCATGTATTTTAGTTAACAGATTTTGGTGTCGTTTAACTATTCCATTATTATGGGAAAATCCATTTTCTATTTCTACTAGAAACCATAAATTTATTATTGATATTTATTTACATAATTTTAAAACAAAATTAAATGTATATAAAATTAATAAAAATTTATTACCTTCAAATACACTATTCAATTATCTTAGCTTTTTAAAATATTTGAATACATATAAATTTATTACTTCTGTTTAATGAATGGAAAATCTTTAACCTTCAAAAATAAACATTTAAAAAGTTCAATAATTGATATATGTTTATTACTATTTAAAATGTTTATTGAAAATGAAGTAAATTTACATACCTTCGAAATTGAGAACTCACCTACTATTAAATATTCTAGTATATATCTTGATAGTATTCTTGAGTTAATTTTACAAAATCCAAATTTCATTTACAATATTAGAAATTTAAAACTTTATAGTATATATTATATAGAATTGATATAATCAAAGATCGTTTATCACAAATAATTCACATTAAAATCTAAAAAAAAAATTTACTTGGTTATAATTTACCTTTATATCAATTATTATTTTTATCAAAAGATTATAATTTTTCAAATACTTTAAATACAATCATTTTCTATTGCGTCAAGATAAAGTATTTAAACAATTAAATGTTTTAGAATCTGTTCATATTGTTTATTGTTCATCTTTAAATGATAGTTTTATTCAACAAATTATTACTTTAACTAAACCATTTATGGGCAAGATATTACAAATTGAATCACTACAATTATTATTACAAAAATCTGGTGGTTATTTAGAAAATTTTGATTTGGTTTTGGTTTTAGGGGATCATTAGATCAACAGTTAATAGAATTAATTACAAAATATTGTAAGAATATCAAATTCCTTGATTTGAGTAGAATTGATAATCCGATTATTTATCTAAGGCCATACAAACTTGATTTTATGGTTTTCATAATATAAAAATTTCATCAATAACCCGGCAACCCGGCTTTTAATTTTTTTTTTCAAAAATTTTATATGTGAAATTTTTTTTCAATTTTTAAAAAATTCTCACCCGGCATAGTAACAATATAAAAATTTTTTTTTAAGACCTAACAAAAACTGACCCGGCCGGACTATGAAAACCATTTTTACCACTTTGTGTCGCCTAATAATCAATTTAATTGAAAATATTAAACAAAAACTTAATCATCTTGCAATTCGTATATTGGATGGTATTTATTATTACTCGAATGGTAATATTGAACATGGTTCAAATATATTGCAAAATTTAGGACAAGCTCTCCCTTCTAAATTAGAATACTTAAGTTTGACTGTTTCTATTAAAAACAGTGATTTTAGAACATTCTTAGAAAATTCTCAAGATATTCTTATTAATAAATTGTTAATTGAGCAAAGAAGTAGTTACGATATTTTACATTATATAAAGGAATATATTATGAAGAAAAAAAGAGTAAAGTATTTGTCTATTATGTATTTTAAAGTTCAAATAGATTTGTATGATTTGAAAGATGAAGCGGAGGAATTTAAACTATATAATATTAGAGTTCGAAGTTGGAATGATTTATCTTTTGCTGGTAATATTTATAATTTATTAAAGGAAGTTGATTAATTATTACATAATATTTGACAACTGAATAATTTTAAAAGTTGCTTCATATCATTTATTATTGAGATATATTGAGAAATTTTTTTACGTTATGTTTACATTAAGATTTTGAATCCTAACGTTAACGTTAAAGTTAACGTTAAAATGGTTTCCTTTTTCGGCATACCTCTATTTCAATTTTCGATCTAAATTTCAATCTTCACTTTTTTAAACAATCGCCATTCAAGTAATCTTTTATTGTATTAATTACTAAACACTATGGAAATAAATCAAGAGTTTGCAATGAGCATTGGTTTTATTGGATAATCATATGATTATGACAGTATTATGACGTTTAATTTCATATCAAGCATGCAATATTCTGTCTCATCAATCATATTTACAATTATTGGTCTATAACACATCGAAAATAAACACATTTTTTAAAAATATCATGACTAAAAAATTCAAAGCAACACTCTTCTTTTGTCTAATACTATATAAGAAAATTAACATTTGATCTATCTGAAATTTAGTAAATTTTTATTAGTAAAATTGGTCAAGTGAGTTTATCATTTCAAATTTCAATCGACTGTTACGAATTGAATTGTAATATTTGAGCAACATCTTCAATCACATTGAGGGAGACGGTGAAACAATAATTTAATGGATCACATGATCATTTATCACGTGGTTTATCGCTCAAATTTCAAGTTTACGCAACATATCAAAAAGTTCAAATAGTTTTAGTTTTACAAATCCTAATTCTGTCTTTATTTGAAAAACGTGATATTTGTGTAGCTTTCTGATGGGTTTATGATACAGACAAGACTTTCATATTATTTGTATATATTAAATATAGTAACTATTTTTATTTGTGTTTAACCCTTGGAGAATTTTTTCTTAATAAGACAATTTTTTTTAACAGGATTTTTTTTTTTGATAGAGAATTCATTGAGAAATTTTTTTTTTGTAGAAAATTCTTTGGAGAATTTTGTTAATAGGAAAGATTTTTTTTGATAAAAATTTTTTTTTGATAGAGAATTTTGTTAAGAATTTTTTTTTTAATAGAAGGGAGTTTTCCTTGATAAAGAATTTCTTTTGGGAATTTTTTTAATAGGTGAAAGTATTTTTTGACGGAGTATTTATTAGAGAATTTTTTTTTGATATAAGATTTTTTTTTTGATAGATCGTTAGTAAATTTTTTTAACAGGGCCACAGGGGAGATTTTTTTTTGATAGAGAATTATGGTAAAGAATTTTTTTTTTTTAATAGGTAAAGAATCTTTGAATTTTTTTTAATAGGGAAAATGTGTTTTTTGATGGAAGATTTTCGTTAGAAATTTTTCTTAATCGGGATATTTTTTTTGATTGAGAATTTCATTAGAGAATTGTTGGTTGAAAAGTTTTTTATTTTTTGATGGAGAATTTTGTTAGAAGTCTCAATAGAAAATTTTATTGAAAATAGTTTTTTTTTAATAAGGGTATCGAGAATTTTGGCTTGAAATTTTTTTTTTTAATAAAGATTTTCATTAGAGATCTTTTTTTTATAAAAAATTGATTGAAAATTTATTAAATTTCACAATTTTAATAAATTTTTTTTTTTTTGTTTTATTTGTTTCATTTTAATAATTTCAGGTTTCTAGAATTTGTTTTTATTTAACTTACTTTATTAATAAACTGTTCGAGCTTTTCTACAATAAGCTCCCCGGAGTGTAATATAGAATTCTCACATATCACATGAACACGGTCAATAGAGTCCATGGTTGACAAGAGCGGGCGCTTAACTAATCTTATGCTTACCCTAACCCTAAGCAACTCTAAAACGTCAGTGTCAACAAGTATTTCAGGTACATTCTATATAGATTTTTAATTTATACGTAAAGCAATTTAAAATTAAATGTAATAATGAATTATTGATTAAACAATTCAATACTAAATAAAATAGTAAATTTATACTGTATTAAAAAAGTGTTATTAGTATAATTAATATCCCAACTAATTTATACTTTATATTACAGAAGTAGAAGAGAATTCTTTTTTAAAATAAAATTCCATTATAAAGAAATCAAGTCAACTTTTCATTTTAAAAATAATTTTATATTCTTGGTAATGTAGACGCGAAAATAATAACTTACAGTAAATAATATATTTAGTAGATCAGTTGCCACAACTGCGCCGTATACTCCATAGTTGAGAAGATTCCTAGGGTGAAACAGACTTTCATGCATAATAATAAACCTTTAAATGTTTTAAAAATTCTTTTTTTTAAAAACGACGTAAGCAGTTTTCGAATTAGTGTCTGATCATCTAAATAATACGGTATATAATACATTCGGATAAAGCACTAGTTCAAAAATTGCATATATCTTTTTTTAGGTAAAGTAATTAAGAACACAGTACTTAAAAGAATAATAGCATCAGTATAGTGCCAAGAGAATTTAGTGATTATACTACTATACGATCACAAAATTATCTTTCTATTTTGGTGTTGACAAGTTGTAATTGGCTTCTCGGATACCGGGTACCAACGAGATAATATTTATAAAATATTTCACATTTAATATTTTAAACGCAAAAAAAGAATTTATTTATTTATTTAATAAATATAAAAAAAAAATTAAAATAAAATAAAAATAAAATTGTTATTAATCAATTAACTAATTAATTTACTTATTAATAATTAAAGATTCGTGTAAAATAAGTACATCAAGCACTTATAAAAAACCCCAAAAGTCCAAATCTGCAGGTACAGCAGGAGGTTCACTAGCACCAAAAATAGCAGCTGAACAGGCTAATGCTACACTATCAGGTGGATTTCCATGTTCAATTGCAATTACAATAGCGTATGATTTAGGCAACTCTTCTGCGCCTGGTGCAATGTATTTCTGCGTTGTAGAAAATGTAGTTCCGGCTTTAATCGGACAAGTAACTCCAGGTAATGAACAAATATCCACAATGAGGGGACCTCCTACGGGATGTTTCTCGGCAAGATTGATGAATGCAATACCAAGCAAATCTCCAGTGATAATATCATTTTTCAATGTTCCTTTAATGTCGAACGTTTCTTCTTGTCCAGGAGCGAAGGGATCAGGTGTCATTTTTACATCGAGTCCCACTGCATCTGGTGGCAAATCGGGACATGGTGGAAATGAAGTTTCTCTTTTTTCAAGTGGTGCTGCATTGACCGCAAAAAGCGTAGCAAATAAAACGAATGCAAAAATAAAAATTCGACTCATGATTACTTAAATTTTCTTGTAATTAAATTTTTATTAAAATAAATGTTTATTAATTTTTTTTTTTTTTTTGAATTCGGATTAAATCAGTTACTTCTTTTATAAGAAAAAAACAACAACCAAAAGATTTACTTTGTTTCATCTTTTCTTTTTCTTCGTATTAATTTTATTAATCTGCAAATCACGATTATCATCATGCTATACATCAAGTCATCAAAGAAAATCATACTAAATAATAATTATGTATTACTGCGTTGGATAACTTAACTAAGTTCGTTTTTGTTTAAAAAAAAAAAAAATTTTAGACATCTTCGGTCGTTGATTCCTTAGATAAGAAAGCGACTGTGCTTTGTTTATGACATAAGTTTAAGAATTAAATAATGATGAAATTTCAGCCGTCAGAATTTAAAAAAAGGATATGAAATTTGAGATCACATGAGGAATACAACTAAATTAATATATTTCAAGGGGCTTGTATTTAAGTTTCGTTTTAAATTAGTTTAAAACGAAATTGTGTCATTCAAAATGGGATCTCCCAAAATCCCTGACAGAATCCTGGTGATCTAAAATCTTGACAGCTAAAATCCTGACTGGATTAGTTAATTTTTAATGCAATTCTAATTTCAAAAGATTAGTAATTTAGTAATATACTGTACATAGTCCTTTTAGTTAAAATAAAAAATTTTTCCTTTTAATTTCATTAATAATATAGTAACGTTAGTTAATTTGCATTAATATTAATAAAATTTGCAAACAATTTGCATTGGTATTGATAAAATTTATAAATATTTTCGTTAATACTAATCAAATAATTCAAATTATATTTTTAACTAGATTAGTTTGATGTGTGGTGACTTCGTCGCCACCAGATAAATTGTTGAAAATTATATGTGATTTGGTTTGTGAAAGTTCTAATGAATGAATATTATTTAATGGCTTTTTTTATTATGTAAAATAGAGATTCAAACAATACTAGAGTCTCGCTCGTGGAAAAGGCGAAACCAGCTTAGGGATGACTTTTAAATGTGACGAATATTCATTACATATTATCACTTTTCATTTGGTTCGTCTATTAGAATCATTAATTTATGATGGACTGATATATTTTATATGGCTTAATTTAATTTTTTATGCATTTTGTAGTGTCAGAAAATGTGATAGTATAATATTATTTTTAGGCGCAAATTTTATTTTAAATTTTACTGCGGTTTGCAACGACTTTAAACTATTGGTTAGATTATACTGCGGCCCGAAATGACCTTAAACTATTGGATGATTTGTTTTAGTAGGGGATTTGCGTTCAGGTGATCTATCATTTTGTCGGTACCCTAATGACAAGGGGTCGGGTCAATTATCGCCATTTTCGGAAATACGCAAAAGTGTGGAATGTGGATATAACAAATCTGCTAGATGATTTTGCACGTGCACCAATCATTTTATTCAGAGAATGCACGGAACAATTCACAGAACAGAATTCTATAAATCAGAAAATTATTTGAAGAGTTCATCGCATTTATTTATATGAAACAAACTATATTTTTTTTCACTTTTTCTTGGATCATGTTCATACTGTATTTTTTGAAAACGATGATAACCCCACCAATGTCAATCACAACAGAACAGTTAATTCAGAGATACAGTATACTAATAATGATATATAAATGAAAATTGCAACGCTGGTCACATTTTAATATTGTAATAGGTCAAATTCTTCTTCCTGATACCTGGGTGAAGTTGCTTCTGATTGCTGGTTGAACATAAGTAGTATTTGACATTGATGGATTTGGATGTGTATCATCTTGAGGTTTTGAATGACATTCATTTTTAATGATCTTACTTTTATTTTTAAATATTCAATGTAACTGTCTTTACCTTTTTCAATGAATTCAATTAAACTAAAAAAAAGTACTAATTATAAAGTCAACTAAGTGAGCGTAATGCAGTAGCTTCAATTTAATAGGTTGGTCTAATCTAACATTTCTGACCTTTCTAAGCTTTTAATCTTTTCATCCTTTTTGTCTAATTCCTTTTCCAGCTTTCTATTTCCATGAACCCTTTTATAATAAAAAAAAAGTTTATTTTTCAAAAATAAAAATCCATTATCCAATTATAAAAAAAAATACCAATTATTTTTTCGAGAATGAGTTTTTGAGTCACTATAATATCATTTTTTATTTCAAGATGAAAATTTTTTAACCATGATTTTTAGGTGTAAAATGAAAAATATCTAGTTTGAGGAATAACTTGTCGATAAAACTTTTTTATCCCTGATTATTATATTAAAAGAAAATTAAATGTTTTACATTAAAATAAAATTTTTATTAATAAGTTGTAAAGAAAAGTTGAGTATTATTAAAAGAAAATCAGGATGGTAGTCAACTTTACAGTATAGTCTAACATAAATTGTCTCATAACATGTAACGCGTCTTTTATAAGTTTGCGTAAAAGATGTAATTTAACTTATTAAAATTCTGAAATGATATTGGTTAGTGATTTTGACGGACTGATATACAGTTAATTGTACCTTTTATGTCAAATATTTTTTATAACACAAGCCACTGATTTTATTAATGCGCAGTTTAAATTGTTATATGGTAATAAAATAATATGTAAGTGATGACTCATAATTATATAAGATAATATGATTATTATTGTAAAAGATGTAAAATTGAAGTAAAATTCCGAAATGATATTGGTTGGTGATTTTGAAGGACTGATATTATGTAATTCCGAAATGATATTGGTTAGTGATTTTGATGAACTGATATTTAAATATAGACTATTACAGTTTAATTATACTTTTTATTGTTATTGATGCGCAGTATAAAGTATTTTTTTTATTAAATCAATTAAAATATCAACAATAGACTATTTTTTACTATTTTTCTATTTTTGCGAGTCCGCAAGAGTTGATTACAAATATTAATATCATTTATACTTTTTATATGAAAAGCTTGTGCAACAAAAAATAATATTTATACAGTCCTTTTTTCTTTCTTTTTTTTTTTTTTATTACACATCCTCTTATTCCAAACATCCTCCTATTTCCTATTTCACACATACACATCCACTTATTCTTTCCCTCTTTTAGAGAGAAAGGTAACAAACTTTTTTCGCGCAAATAAATATTTTTATTTTTTTTTTGCACGAAAAAATAATATCCTCTTATTCTTTTTCTCTTTTAGAGAAAGGAAACCTTTTTTCGCGCAAATAAATATTTTTATTTTTTTTTTACGCGAAAAAATAATATTCTTCCTTTCTATTATTCTTGAGAAGGTAACAAACTCTTTTTTGCGCAAATAAATATTCTTATTTTTTTATTGCGCGAAGAAATAAATATTCTTTCCTCAAATATTCTTATTTTCATATACGTATTTTTTTTCATTCATTCAAATAAATATTTTTTTTTTTAAACAAATAATTATCTAGGGTATACCATTTATTCCAAGATCAGGACAACAAATGTTGAACAAGAAATTAGTATTACTCCTAATATATCAGCATAGAAACGTTAGACTAGACTAACCTACTCAAGTGAAGTCAACCAAAGAATAACATCTCCAAATCATTGTCAAGACCCAGGTTCTATAACAAAATCAACAGGAATTTNTTTTTTTTTTTTATTACACATCCTCTTATTCCAAACATCCTCCTATTTCCTATTTCACACATACACATCCACTTATTCTTTCCCTCTTTTAGAGAGAAAGGTAACAAACTTTTTTCGCGCAAATAAATATTTTTATTTTTTTTTTGCACGAAAAAATAATATCCTCTTATTCTTTTTCTCTTTTAGAGAAAGGAAACCTTTTTTCGCGCAAATAAATATTTTTATTTTTTTTTTACGCGAAAAAATAATATTCTTCCTTTCTATTATTCTTGAGAAGGTAACAAACTCTTTTTTGCGCAAATAAATATTCTTATTTTTTTATTGCGCGAAGAAATAAATATTCTTTCCTCAAATATTCTTATTTTCATATACGTATTTTTTTTCATTCATTCAAATAAATATTTTTTTTTTTAAACAAATAATTATCTAGGGTATACCATTTATTCCAAGATCAGGACAACAAATGTTGAACAAGAAATTAGTATTACTCCTAATATATCAGCATAGAAACGTTAGACTAGACTAACCTACTCAAGTGAAGTCAACCAAAGAATAACATCTCCAAATCATTGTCAAGACCCAGGTTCTATAACAAAATCAACAGGAATTTATTTATCACATTTGGTACATTTGGTGAGTTGTTGTGTTTAAATTTAAAAAGTTTGGGCTTTAATTGCAATGAAGGCTTTTTTACGATTTAGTTCATGGGTCTGCTCACGTATATATATGTCTAAGGTTTTCCAAATTTGCTTGTGCTTATTTGTCGGGATTCTTTGTGAGTCTAGATGAAATCTGGTATATGTGCCTGAGTAAGCGTGGATGAGCGTTCTGATATCAGCCTAGTAATTCAATAACTCATTTATCTGAGTGATCATAGGATAACCTTTCTCTTTATTATCATTAAGGTTCTCCTTACACAAGAAATCCACTATATATTCGTCTATAAATTCATTAAAAATTTCCGCGTATTCTTCATCATTATCATCATTTTGATTCAATAATAAATGGTGAACTAAACATTGACATTATCAATTCAAAATTCGACTTATTAACGTTAAGTAATGTCATATCTTTTTCAATCATTTAATTTTTTTCATTGTGTAATCTAAACCATGGAATTTTTTCTTTATCCTTCATTTTGGCCTATACAGGTGATGCTAATTCCATTGCTAGAGTGCGTTCGATTTTTTCTGCTTCACAATGCATATTATGATATGCCTCCGTAAAACACAGAAAAGCATTTTGGAACATTTTTTTAGCGGACTTTTTTTTTTTTGACGTGGCATTATTTTAAAGAGATTAAATATTAATCCTGTAATTCTTGTAGTTAATTCTTTTTTTTAATAAAATTTTCTGAATGATTATCGTTCGAAACTTATCTGCTTTTATAATTCATTTTTTCCAAGTAAAATATTTCCAAAAGAGCATAAAAATAAAAATTATTATTTCCTTGAAACG